CGATAGCATAAAAGAAGTAGTTATTAATCGCCTTAGAAGCGAAAGTGTACGTCTGGGGTCAAAGGTGTGCAAAAATTATACTCTGTACGTATACTTTATACCTGTATTGTCATAAATCTCATTACGTAATATTACATATACGAGTTGATAAAAACAATGATTGTAGATGTGAAACAACTAATTACGATGATATCTTTAATCTACAGCCGGAAAAATTACATTCTTTGAATTTTAATTATACCGAAAAGTAAACATTTTTATTTGCATACGTTATTTTTTAAAGTACATAATAAATTCTATTTTAAGACTAAAACAAGACAAAAATTTACGAATGCTAATGTAATAAATTAATTGTAAAATCACATTTTTAAAGCTCTTATTTAAACGAACTTAAAGAAGAAAATAAACTTTAAATTAAATCAAACCCAACAATTATTACCTTACACAATTTATATGACATAAAAGCTTGTCGTGACATTTACTTATTTAAAAAAACATATCTTTTTTTCTTAGAAATACTTACCTATGTCAAGATCAAGTTAAATATAGTATTCTTGTTTATCTACACAGGGTTTTATGCTAGGTTATCATTTCAAAAATAATCAGAATAAAGAAACCAAAATATATGTGACGTGTAATGTAATGAAAATTATCATTAATTATGAAATTATTGTAATAACTATAGACCTTATCAAGGCTAATAAGACGCAAGGTTAGGTACTAAATAGTAACACTTGGTTATCACACCTCAAGCATTCTTGGTGTGTTTAATTAAATATGTAAAAAAGTATCTGACACAGATTGCATCGAGCCGGTATGGTGACACTTAAGTTTTTATATTTAGGTGATATGAGTACTTTACTGATATTTAAACGATGTAGCGTGAACTGCGAAGGTTGAAATTAGTACATACTTATTTAATATTGAACTCAATTTAAATATTACAAAGATGCAGTCAGATTGCAAAGTGCAACACAAAAAGTTCTTCAAATATTTTTTAAATGGCTTATTATGTTGAAAAATAAAGTACTAAAGCTATTAAAAGTTCAGAATCATATTATTATCTTATTCTTCTCCAAAAATGAAAAGTTCTTTCATAAAGAAGCTATATTCGATTTCGTTTAGTGCATAACTAACAGAAACTTTATACATAATGCCAATGCATGTGATTATTATATTCCTATAATATTATACTAATTTAAATTTAATTTCGCATAACCAACATGGCAAAACTAATGTCATCATTCATCTTAGTTATATTCGAATAATCGATTAAATTACAATAATAAAAATTATACTTTTATTTTATTTCTAAATATAGGGTTCTGTGTTTTGTACTAGCTCTAACTCTTTTCCAAAACGGCTGATTATTATATATAATATTTAGTAATAACTTAATTTAAGTGGAAGTTTAATTACTTTTTTGCACCAAATTCAAATCTAATACAAGTTCTAAATCAATCTTTGTTGAAGATTATTTTTGTAAATGAAATTTTACATTGCTTGCTTGCTATTACAATTAAACTAAACTATTATCGTTAACTTATTATTAAATGATTTTATATGGGGAAAGTTTTGATACCTCACTTTATAAATTTTAAAATTAGACACAATACAATATTCTTCCAGATGTAACAAATTATCAAAAAATATCCAAAGTTATCTTAATACCTATTTTTAGTATAGTACGTTTTTTTATCTACACTAATATTATAAAGAGGTAAAGTTTGTGAGTTCGTGAGGTAGTAAATTTATGACGTTGTAGAGAGTAATCTCTAGATCTACTGAACCGATTTAGATGAAATTTAATAAGAATATAGTTTGAAACCATGGGAAGGACATAAGATACTTTTTATCCCAGAAGTCATCCCTTAAAGGGGTTGAAAATGGTGTTGAAAGTTTGTAATGGGAAGCAAGCTACGGACGAACCCGAGCGAAGCGAGGGTAAGTCGCTAGTAAATGATAAAAAAAGAAAAATATCATATCGTATGCAACTTCAGAAGAACCAGAACCAGAGTTACTATGGGCGATTACAACACGAAAGTTTTGATTTGTAATAAAATTGTTCATTTACTTCCTTCATACATTCTGAACCATAAAATCACTGCGATAAGGACATATATGGCATCTTAATTCATATAAATGAGTATTACTCAGTCATACCTTAACAAATATTTATGATGGCCAGGATACGCTGATTAGTAAAGTACTACTCGTACTATGAGTTATACATCTATTTCCGTTAGGACAACTCGGCGACCTCGGCGGCAGAATGTCATCGGTAACGTTTCAGCCTTTCACTTTTATTATTTTTCTAATTCAATTTTCCTCGTAATTCCATTTGACTCTATTGACATTTTTAATAAAATTATCATGACACTTTTTAAAAATTAAGCGAAAAATATTACGCGTAAAATAATTTTTACTATACAAATATTAAAATATGTATATAACCATTAAAACATGAATGTGATTATAAGGGACTATGATTACAGTATAATCATTATCAATTTACCTTGTTTTATTGAAGTTTCTGTAATAACTAAGCAACGCAAACTGGTGTTTTTGTATATAACGATTTAGATCCCGCTTTAGCTAACGTGTGAGAAACAAATATTATTTTTTTTACTTAATTTTATACAAACAGACCACCAGTCATTTTAAATTAAATTTATAAGCTATTCATATATTTTTGAACATTTGTTTAGATTATTGTTTTTAGATCACCACAATTACATTTACACAATTACACAAGAGTACAAAAATTATATAACAAAGCCGATTAACAGATCTTTGAAGAAACATCAAATGAAACCAAGATTACCGTGTAACACAGTTTATTTACAAATAATCTGAATGACCTGTTGATTTTTTCTATAGTATTTTTTTGTCTAAATCGATTATAATTAAATTGACTCAGACTAAATATTTGAATCATTTGGTTACTTTATAAATAAGGAGCTACTTTACTAGAGCATGGCGTATGGATTTGTAGTTATTAGATTCATGTACTTACATTAACTATACTAAAAGCAAACTAAAGTACAATAAACAGTATAAGTCGAAATAGTTTTATAGAACCTACCTCTTGAGATATTATATATTAGTTATAAAGCTATTGATTTATTGACATATGTCCTTATAAATAAATCATGAAAATTAAAAATTGATTACATATTTTATTCAAACACAACATATAACCCATGTTGTCTTTCAATAAAATAATACTTTTTGCCTATAAATAATTTTAAAACGCGTTTCATAAAGATTTTAATTTGAATTCGAACATTTTAAAGCATGCGAATAAAAACAAACATTCCGCAAAAGACTTCAAATCATGAAACACATGAGCGGAATCTTATCGTAATAAATTATTAGACTTAATAGTGTTACTGAGAGCAATTAGCTTAAGTATATCACGAGTCGTACTTAAAACGAGAACTGTTAATTTACTCGCTCTAATATTGATATAGGTACTAGTGGTAGCTTAGCTACTTGAAAATATTTACACTTTATCTATTGGATCTTGAGAAATATGTACGTTATGGTATTTTGTATCTAAATAACGCTGTAATTGAAAATAGAAATTAAAATAAGGTTCCTCTATAAACTTGGAAGAAATACAGCAGCAAAAACAGACAAGAAATGAAATGATTATTTAAATTTTTAGTTCCAAGTTAAAAGTTTTATATACAAAATTCAATTAACATAATTATTTAAATGATATTGATCAAAAGAATATAAGTAAGAAATCAGAGACAAAAAAAATGTTAACAACCTAAGCAAATTGATTAGAAACTGTTTTGAGTCTACAATATGTCTCTACAAAGTTCATAAAATAACGGTTAATAATATAAAATGACGAAACTAGATAAAATATAATTGGATACAAAAATATGTTAGCACTATTTCGATATTTTAATGAAATTACTAAGAGTTAATTATAGGATTCCGGTTCAATTTTGAAACAGCCGCAGTCAGATATAAAAGGTTGAACCTGTTGATATATAATCGCATAATTACATATTTTAATTAACAAAATAGATGAATTGGATAATTTTACTTGTTATATATTTATAATTATTAGCGACCGTTGGCGGACATCAAAAATATCACAGATTTTCTGTGTCTCAACATTACATATTTTGCAAATAAATAAATGATACAAATGCAGAATAAGTATGGTGGTGAATGTTTGTTTGTTTAAAAATCACATATTTATTTCAAAAACAAAAGATTGTTTTATATTATTTTATAACTTATATACTAAAAATTTCAAAGTGCTTATTTCATCGAAGTCAATCAAAAAATTAAGTTTCAATTTTTAAGTTTAGTTTCAAAACACACAGGTTGACTCTATATTATTTTAATTGCCATAGACTTTATTATCTACATACGAGTATATGACAAGAATGTATTTTTTAAAATGATATTAATTAAAATGTAACACTTCGTAAACGGGATACAAACGTGTGTGTGTACTTATGTACCTACGCACGTAAGAAGTTATATTTCTTCGGCATAACAAAACAAAAATAGTTAAAGATTTTATATAAAGATTTAGTATAAAGATTTTCTTTGTTTGTAAAATGAATGCAGCTAACTTCATCATGTCGCTTATTGGCTGTAAAAATTTTACTCTCGTATTTTTTTCTAAAATAAGTGTAACTTCAAAAATTAATAAAATGCTAACCATCTATAAATTCGCGGTAAAAATCTCAATAAAATGATGTGTTATATCATTCGGCTTTTAATAATAAGAATTTATTTCATTATTATAACTGTGTATAAGATAATAAAAAAATGATTTATAACGTGAGCTTTTTTGCTCTCGCATACGAATTATAAATTAATTCATATTTAGGTTAAAATCAGGCAGGCCTAACCGTAAAGCGACTTGGGTATTTAACAGTTTATTATTTAGTAGTTATTAAATATTGACCAACAAGAGCAACAACTGACCTCAACTGAGCTCTTCGTTAATCTAGCAATATCTTTAAATGTTAAATTATTACAATTCTCGCAACTATTTTACTTTCACAAGGTAATCATTAAATGTTTACGCTATGAAGTTACGTAATCAACTATAGACAAAATTTAACTAACAATTTAGTTTCCCATGGAATTTATAGTCGACCTCATAAAGTATATTATATTTCCTTCATCTCGATTGACTTTTTTATATATCAAAACTAGTTTCACTTAATTTATACATTATCTAACTTAGTAAACGAAAGTTCATATATTTACCAATTTTAAGCTTTCGCAACACTTTATGGTGTATAATACCCAGCTTGTTTATACCCCAAGCAAATACAAAATTTAAAAAATGCATCATTATAAATTTTGTAATGAGTTATTAAAAATTATTAATCATTAAATAACATGTACAGTCTGGATGCTGGACACAAAATACTTACATATTTATAGCAATGAATTCACATATATGATACAAGCATAAACCACTTTCACTATACAGTCTGTTCTTAAAACTAGCCTATACTGAAACTAGCATTCAATAAATATCAAAGACACACCTATTTGTAATTCTCGACCACACAAAGAATAAAGTTAATTGTATAATGAAGTTGCTCTTAAGTTCTCATATGATGTCGTTAAAACAGAATAATATTAATTTAAAGTTCAAAAAGCACCAAAATGACTCAAAACGAGGACATGTAATAAAATCAGGACAAGCTATTGTGTAACAAAATTAATATAATTCTGATGTTATTAAACTTACGTAAACTGTATTGATTTCTTTCAAAATAACCTCTTATTTTTAAAGATCACTTATACCATAAAAATACAATTAGACTTATTCAATTAAATATACATTATTTGACATTATTAAATAAAACTATCTTTTCGGATTATTTCGCGGATTTATTTTGATTTTTGGTTCCCGACGTTTCGAATGCTTTACAGCATCCATGGTCACGGGAGAGACTGAGGTGTTACATGTCTTAAAGATATAGTTGTTACAGACAGCCTACCCTCAATTAACAAAATGCATCATTTTGTTAATTGTGGGTAGGCTGTCTGTAACAACTATATCTTTAAGACATGTAACACCTCAGTCTCTCCCGTGACCATGGATGCTGTAAAGCATTCGAAACGTCGGGAACCAAAAATCAAAATAAATCCGCGAAATAATCCGAAAAGATAGTTTTATTTAATAATGTCAAACATTCGCGTAAATCTAAGAAAGTATTATACATTATTTGATTTACATAGTTTATTTACTATGATCTTCAAACCAGTCTCCAAAAAAAAATTGTGCAAAACCGCTTATCCCTTTATGGCTAATAGGCATCAATTCATCTATATCTATCCATATAATAAAATTATAACTAATCGCTGTCTGTACATGGAAGATATTTAAGAAAAACTATTATTAGAGTCATTATTAACGCAATAGAACCAAAAACAATATTTTTTATAATTTTTGTCTGTATGTCTGTGCGTTTGTGCGTGCTAAACTCAGAAACGACTAAGCCGATTACAATGCGGTGTTCACTAATATACTTTGGTAAGCTTCACTTAACATTTAATATCTGTTTTATTTCAATCGGTGCATAAATAAAAAAGTTATGTCAATTTAAAAAATCACCTAGGGACGAACCCGAGCGCAGCGAGAGTGAGTCGCTAGTAATATAATAAGAAGTAAACAATTCCTCTGATTATTATTATCCGAGTTCATTAGATGTCTTGCTATTTATTCTAAGTGAAAATATGTAATTAAAAACAATACGATACACCCAAACTTCTATTTCTTTAAAAAATATCTAAATAGAGGAATTTTTAAATTCAAAAGTTAAAAATAAATAAATTAATTAATTTTTATTTTAATGGATTGTTTTTTGTTTTATTGTTCATAATCTAATAATATTATTTTCTTTTCCAGAGCGCTCTTAGTAGCGCTATGCATTGTGTACGCGACGTCGTTGAGTCCGCTGAGTGTGACTGTAGACGACGACTGCGCGCTCTACCTAACAGGACCCGGCAGATCTTCAGCTTATGACTACAGCTTGAACCTACTCAAAGGAAATTTGTAAGTGTATATATAGATATAGTACAAAAATATAAAAATATTATCGTGACAAGAAAAAATCAGCTCAACATCGAACTACAATATAAATGTGATGTCTGTACGTGGGTATGTTTGTTACTCTTAAACGCTAAAACGGATTAACACACGCTATAATTACGCACCTAAGAACATCAGTTTCTGGTGTAAATATAATTAAAACTGTTTTACAAGTTTATTCAAATTAGTTGTATGAATATTAAAAATAAAAATGTTTAAAGTTAAAAATATTGTAATGTAATTGGTGCAATTTTCATTTTGTTAATTGTGGGTAGGCTGTCTGTAACAACTATATCTTTAAGACATGTAACACCTCAGTCTCTCCCGTGACCATGGATGCTGTAAAGCATTCAAAACGTCGGGAACCAAAAATCAAAATAAATCCGCGAAATAATCTGAAAAGATAGTTTTATTTAATATTAAAAATGTCAAATTAACTACTTTATCAAAGGCTAAATAATTTTCACATCGTAAAATTGCAAGAGTTTTTTTACTTCTACGATGAAGTAATTAAAACATAGCACGAAGAAATTCTTAGCAATTAATAAATGAACACTTAGGTTATATGATAGCCATCATTTCAACTTTATTGATCATCTACTCATATTTCTTAAAGCCTTCTTTCTAGTGATTACATTAAATACTTCGCGTGAAAGTCACGGGTAAACAGTGAAAGTAGAGATTATACAACATACAACCCTATATACGAGCATTCGTGTATCGCTTAATTTGATATTCAGATGTGGAATTATTTATATTAAAATTATATTAAAAAAGTATAAACAAAAAATGTTATACTTTGTAATATACATGTAGTTAGCTAACAATTTTATTTACTTATATCAAACACATGACTACAAAATGTCAACGTTACAAAGTATATTTTTATTTTGTATTCATCCACTACTAAATAATTACATTTTTTCTAATTTAATTAAAAGCTTATATGTATTAGCAGACGATACTTATTACTTCTTAAGTCTTAAGATCTTAACTTACTATCTGAAATTTTTATTTGATTAATTCTATACTTGTTTCGAGCTGGTATAAATAAATTACCTGTACACACTCATTATCTAAAAAATATAAAATAAAGTGAAAGTTTTCTACTTACATTTCTTTTAAAAAACACAGATACATACATACGCACATTATTTGACGAAATTTTTGTGTACCTACACATACATATACCTATATACTATTCTTTATTGCATTTAAAATAAAAACAGTAATCAAAATACAATGTTCGTTTGCAATGGCGGACTTATCTCAGCAGTGGTAGTCATATAAATAATACTAAAAAAATAAATAGCTAATTAAATATTATGTATAACACCATACAATATATACTACATACCATACATAATTATGTATATACACACATACAATACTAATACTTACTTGATTATATCTATGTAGGATCCGGAGATACCAATAAAAGCCTTTATAACACACTAATAACTATTTATTGTATTTAAATTATAAAACACAATGCTCACGCGTCTCGTCGGGACACCAATATGACATATCATCCTTCTTTTCGTTCATTCATCTTTCATTCCATTGAACTCTTAAATTTAAATCATACATCTCCTTTTATTTCTTAAAATATCTTTTCACGCATACTCATCTCGCAAATCCCACATCTATATAATACAATACATAACAATTGTAATTAAGGTAATTTTAATATGTAAGGTATTATATGTTTAGATATAAATATGTAATGATATTTAATGCTCAAACTTTCCTTTAAACCTTGACGCAATACTTATTGAAATGCAAAGTGTAACGAGATTATTGAAAACATTAGAATGAGGCAAATTTAATACTTATTAGTGAACAAAATGCTCACTCACGTCTATTCCAATGTCAGCATGTCTCAGGAGCGTGGGATAAAACATTTTACCAACATACACTCGTACATATGAGTTGCATCACATTTGTTACAATCTTGACACACTTCCCGACATCGCTTACTGTTACTTTCTTTATCTAAAACTAGATTCGTTCTTGTTTGCTTATAATATGTTATTTGGACAAAGTTTGTGTAATTAAACAAAATTAATACGAAATACATGCTAATTAAATGTTAGAATTTATGAGACATTTCGTGCTTGATACCTATTGCGGACTTTTCTGTAGGTCTTTGTAAGTAAACCTTGTTGCACCTAACATGTTTAGCTCGCGCTAGTCATGTTTTCTAAAAACGACTTAAACCAATTATTATGTTTTCCTGTGAAAACTAAAGATTTTCCTGTTCTAAAAGGTATCCTAAATGTTAACGCGAGTTATATATATAACTAAAAAGTTATCAATACACAAAACTTAGTTAAAATTGGTCCAGTACTTTTTGCGTGGAATGCGCACACACACAAACAGACATACCTACAGACAATTTTTTTAATAACTATTGTTTTGGGGTCTACATTCTGTACACAATAAGTTACAGACATTGTTTTTTAAAAATATTTCATGTACTGTTTTCACTAGGTTTAACTGTTATATTATATGTATAGATTTATTTGTTTATTATGTATAGATGTATAGTAATTTTATAAATAGATCAATATTAAGATATATCAAAGAAGAACCAAAACATAATTATATCAAGCATTAGCTTCATCCGGCTTTTGCCATAGATATATATTTATTTTGCCATAAATACATATTTAAATTTTTATCTTTACTAAATCAAAATTTTATATCTAATGTTAATAGTGATTTGAAAGCAAATAAAACACCGATCATTACAATATTTTCCATTATAAATAAAGCGATCATCGATCCGGACTTTTTTACACACGTTGCTCAAAATTATCATTTATGCTAATACGTTACACATATTTTGTTTTGTTATATCGGTCACATAATAATATTAAAATTGAATTTCATAAAAATTGCTTTAATGGACCTTCTGACCACGATATTGTTTTACATAATATTAAAACATTGAATATTAATGTCATTTTATTTAATTAACCCCCGATTCAAAAAGAGGGGAGTTATGAGTTTGACGTCGTTATATGTGTCTGTGGCATCCTAGCACCCAAACGGATGAACCTATTCTAGTTAAGTTGTTTTTGAAAGGTGACTTGATCGATCGTGTTTTTAACTATTAATCAAGAAAATCCGTTAAACCATTTGTAGGCCATCAGCTCTTTTCTAGACGGCAAAAGGATATGATCAAGTTCCATAGATCTTTTATTTTTAGAGATATATGTTATCCATACTAATATTATAAATGTGAAAATGTGTTTGTTTGTTGGTTTGTCCTTCTTTCACGTCGAAACGGAGAGATGGATTTTGTGTGGAAATAGTTGGAGGGCTGAAGAGTGACATAGACTACTTTTATACATAGACTACTTATAATACAATACAAAAAAATATGTAAAAAAATATGTATGATCAGAATAGCTTGAAATTTGGTATTAATGCTCTTAAATAAAATTAAATAAATACGTGTTTTACGCATTTTTCGAAATTCATTCTGTAAAGGGGTAAACTAGGGGATGAAAGTTAGCATAAAACTACCTTTTTAGATATTTTCTGTAGTTTTAGCGCGAGCGAAGACGCGGGTTGTACTAGTTATACACATAAACTACAAAAATATAAATTTATTTGATCCAAAATAATTCAGTTCATTCCCAGAACAGAAAGGCAATTAGTTATAGGTATATGTAAAATAAATAAGATATTGATTGAAAGGATTTTTATTACAATTAATATCAAAATGAATTACATGCCATGCGCTGGCTGGTACCACTCCGCCACCACAACTCCAAATTAATCTTAAAAACATTTTTAGTTTCAGTTTAGGTCAAATTTCCGAAAATCCGAATAAAAATCTTATCAGAACAATAACGAATTTAAAAAAAAATTAATTGGTCCAGTTGTTCTAAAATTAAGCGCTTACCAACGAAAAGTATTTCATTTTTACCCGACTGCGAGGAAAGGGTTGTTTTTCGCACCTATCTTTGCATGTTTATTTATAATATTTATTATTCCCTCATATCTTCCAAACCACACGATGGATTTATTTACTTAAGGTATCATTAGATTCGTCTCATTAGTCCAAGTGTTGTTAGATAGGTGACATAAAAAATAAATAAATATGGGGGCTGCTAGATTCCATAATGTGAAAAAGAAAAAAATGAAAATCGACGAACAATGTCAAGTGGGTTATCTTTGAGTAAGTATTTAAAAATAACATTAGTAAATAAGTAAGGATTCTAACGTTTTGAGTGTTTTAATTAATTTTGTTTGCACACATTTTTACCTTTGATATGAGAAAGTTTAAGTTGCTGGAACTGGTTTAGACGGTTGGGATTCTCACGAGTCTAGACATCTAACTAGTTGCTACCTAATACAGATGGTTACGTAAATGTAATAACAATAGTACCTTGTAAAACACAATCTTCTATGTTAGACAAAAAATAGGAGTTATAATGTACAGTTAAGTATCCATATATACTTATACAGATTAATAAAATTTAAGTGTCTGTTTGTTATGTCAAAATAACAGCTTTTTACTAAATTTATATGAAAAATTATTCTTATACTTTCATTCAATTCAAATAAAAGAATTGAATTGAATGAAAGTATTAGAATAATAAAAATGATTTTTAAAGTTTTTGTCTGTCTTTCTGTCTGTCTATTTATTTCGGCTAATCTCCGAAACGGTTAGACCGATTTTGACTGGACTTTCACTGCTGATGTTATAAGGAGTAGCTAAGTAAGGTAAAGTAAGGCTTACTTTTATTTTAGATTTTAAAAGAATCAGAATTCTGCGTTAAAAATTAAATTGTGAACAAAAACCGTGTACCTAGAGAAGCGACGGTAAGTCGCTAGTTTTACAGATAGAGCTAAAATATAATTTAAATAAAAACTATATGCTATAAATAAAACTGAACATTTCTTGATACGTTAATAGTTTTATACTAAATAAGTGGGCGATTGTTACACCGAAGTTTACAAGGTGTGGCTAATATAATGGCTAGAAAGTGGACGAGAGCAAGACTAAGGCAGAGCGTCTAATTTTAAAAATCCATGAATTATGTATATAAAAATCACCGTTAAATCCGAGATACCTAACGATCTACGAACGGTATATTCGATTATCGTGAAATACTGCCACAGGAATAATGTCGGTCGTGTGGACAAACAGAGGGCCGCACCGTTAGATGCACATTACATTAGACATACCTTGTTTGAACAAATCATGTTGCACACAGTTATGTTGACGTTTTCAAAAGCTAACATTGTAGAAGGCAGATTTATGTTTTATGCTAGTAAAAATTGTTTGGCTAATATTTTATAATAATATTTAAATATAAGTAATTACAAAGAACGATTTCCAGTTTTGATACATGCATATTCTCAGCAAGCAATTTGTTTTTGTGAATGTAGATAGTATTTAGTTGGTTATATAGAGCATAAAACACAAATTTGTTTTATTTTATACTTTAGTCGCAAACAATTGTACGAGAAAATTTCATTTAAATAATAACACAATGAAGTCAACATTAGTAACCAGCTTTTGCCTGCAAGTATGTTTTTCTACAAACTATTTATTGCCCGTAAAAAAAATATTTTTAAAATATTTAATGCACAATTTTGTTATAATTTTCAGCCAGTAACAGTTTTTAAATAAACGGTTTTTAATGTAATAAAACATAATAATAAAACATTAAAAACCGTTTTTAAATTAATATATTATAAAAAATACCTAAATTTATATCTAGTGAAATTGTACTATTTTATTGATATGTATTCTTCGAATTGCGAAAGCTTTGGAGCAAAGCCGAATAAATGTCTAAGTCCAAATTTCCATAATTGCTATGACAAGGTATATTACATGATATCTTGCACATTTCTATTTCCTATTCATATCGTTCATGACAAAACCGGTCAATCGGATGGAAGCAATACGGTATAAGCGAGAGGATTTTTGAAAGTGAGCGTAAATCTCCAAGTATCCATTGCCTAACGCATCGTGAGCGTCTAGTCGCAGATAAAAGCATTTTATTGATATATTAAATTACGACATGAGAGTTTAAAAATATTAAAATTTTAATTAGTAATTTAGGTATATATTATTAGCGCCCTGCCGTTTTTGCATCATTTTTACGAAAAATATTGTTTACACTTTACCATGCTAACATTGCCAATATCCTTGAAGCCACTAAATGAACAAATTGAATTGATTATTGCCAATAATTCTTTAATTCACCCTTGTAAGCGATGAATTTCAAAGAACGTATAATTATAGATATAGTTATTTGATTTAATTTTGAGCATCAAAAAAGTCATCTGGTCCTCAAAACATATCTAGATTACTTATAATTAGTTATATTAGTACTATTTAGCCGCAAAAGTTGTGTTTAACTTGTTTAAGCTTAATTAGGTAACATCCTAATTGATTATTATTAATAATTAAAATTAATTTACTGATACATTTATTTTTTGTACTAGGTTTTATTCATGTTCTGATTACTTTTATTATATCGATATAAAATATTTTTAGGATAATTTAAAATTAATTGTTATCTTGTTTTGTTCTAGCGCATACGACGGGCAACACACCTGTATAACATACGAAGCCATTAATCAAGCCTATCTAGATGCCAGGAACAGAATTCGTGAGTTATTTATTTTTAACCAACGAAAAAAAGAGGAGGTTTTCAAGTCGACATGAAACATAATATATATATTATGTTTGACCACGCATAACTTTTTACATTGTTGTACAATTTCGATGTTTTTTTTTATTGGATAGGGTATACCTCAAAGTTGGGACCCATTTAAATTTGACAAAAAAACACTCCTGAATGTAAGAAATAGGGGATTGATTTTGTACCTACTCAAATTTTAATATACTTTCTTCCTACCTTGCTACACTAAAACTGGAAAAATAAAAACTTAAAAAGAAAACAATGAAAGCCGACTTAAAAAAACACTAAAAATTAAAAAAAATAATTGATTGGTAGTTTTCATTTACTATAGATACCTAATCAGATATTTTCGAAGTCGGTGTGCTTTCGAAAGCAGAGTTTTTTGTTGTAGTTTTAAAGCGGGTGAAGCGGCGGGTTCTGCTAGTTATTTATATATTTCTTTCAATTTTATTACAAAAAATTTAATACGTAACATGTATAAATGCTGCTGTATACCTATATAAATACACGCAAAATTATTTTTAAAGCTAGACAACTCTGCAGAACCTTCTTTCGTTTTCTTACAAGAAAGATATATTAAATGTTATAATTAACTACCGCTTTTGGCAAAATTCTTAAATTTACTACATATTTAATAAAATTCAAGCAATTTTCTTTTACGAGTATCTGTCATAATTTTTTCATAACTCACATGTTATGACATTTAACATATTCTCAGAAAGTAACTATCTAAAAGTTAACATAAGGCCTGCTAGCATTTTACTTATAAACATGTTGCCATTTTAACTTTGTCCTTGCAACTGATTTAACTTTTTGACATAATTAAAATCAATTATTGGAACACCTTGTCTTTAATGTTCTGCTTGTTCAACAAATTATTTTTTCATACCTTATTATTACATTAATATATCTTAAATAACTGTTGAACATAGTTAATAATACACATTAATTATTTTGTTATGTTTTTTCCTTAGTGGTATCACAGCCAAAGGGTGATTGGAAAGCTGAAGACTTTGCCAGCGTTGGAGAGCTTATTCTCGACATTTCTACTAGTTTAGCGCGCACGTAAGTACCTACCATCATTTATTTACCTTTGTGTTATTAGTAGGTTTTGTCCTAAATACATTTTTATACCTAATCACATTTATATTTTCATATAATTTTAATATTGATAGATTAAATTAAATAATAGTTTCATAGATTTACGCAAATATTTGATATTTTAAATAAAACTATATAAATACACGATTTTTCACGGATGATTTTGTTTTTTGGTTCCTGATGTTTGGAACGTTTTACAACAGTCATGATCACGGGAGAATCTCTTCCGTTATTTTTTTCCGATAGCGTTAAATAATAGATTAGATTCAATATAAGATATAGTTACTGTAGCGCCAGGAAACAATAAAATCTAAAATTGAGTGATTACTAATATTACCTACGTACTAGTCATATCGGATTAAATTGATATGACAGACAATTCAAACCAATGTACATAACGACCTTGTCTCTTTTACTCCCATTAGCTATTTTCAATATGAATAAATACAGATTACGACGGCAAGGCTAGCCTTTAAATTAGGTCTTTTGTTTCTTAGATGTTTTTTAGATTATATTTCACGGCCGTGGACCACTCACGAGACGGAAAGAAATCGAATAAAAGCTTTACTGTCAACATTAATTAATTAATGTGAGTTTTATATAATAAAAAATCGTGATGTGGTTTCATGGATGAAAAATAGCTCTATATTATAATTACTATATTTAGAATCTTATAAGTTAAGAATCATCATAAATCAATTAATTTGGTAACAAGAAAAACTTATTGCATTCTTAAATAGTTGAATCTTAATTATTAAAATTATTGTCTGTAGTTATAATACTACAATTAAACTCCTTTTAAATGCTAACGATAAAATATCTAGTTTAAATATTTCAAAACTTATGTATAACACAATTGCCATAAAACCTTTAATAGCCCTATTACAAAATCGTCTTGAAATATTATTCCAGCGACCAAGGCTGAACTTTGCAAGATAAATACAACAGTAATTTATTAAACGTTTCATTTAGGCTCTACTTGCGTCTTATCATAGAAGTATTGAATGAATGAAATGATTTACATGTCAAACATAACAATGTCAAAGCTTTTCAAGCACCGTGCTCAATAATTATTTGCCCACTAAAATGTCATAAATACTTTGTAAGTATTCTGTATTACGCATTACGTCCATATTTTTTACATTTACTTTACATGTACATCTTTTGAGGGTAAATTTCCCTTTAAACTTATAGATATTTAAATGTTAAGATGGGTTCAATATTATGTAAAGAAAGCTTGTTCATAGGTTACAAACGAAGCTACTTTAAACATTTGATATGAGAGTATTAAGAGATTAGGTACTTTGTTATACAATATTTAGAATAGAAATAAAATAAAACTACTTTATATTATTTTGAATAGAATTTTATAATGAATTGAAAATTATAATGATAGAATTTTCAAGCTTCGGGAACCAGAAACAGAATGTGAAGGAATGAATTTAAGGTGTTTTATTAAGTAATAGAGTTTTGCTTGCGTAGACAAAATTAATTTTAAAAATAAAAGCCAATTTTGTATCCATGTGAACCCTCGTGTTTTAAGTTTTTTTGAATAGTCCGGTTCGAAAGTAAAAGTAACACAGTAACATAGCTAGCTACCTAGTTTACCTTGGGATCGACATATGAAGTCCCTTATCTTTAGTGTTTGACAGATCTGGGGCTCGACTTTTGATATTAGATACCCATTGTTTTCAAATACAACCTGTTATACCAGTTAAGCAGTGTAAGCTTAAACAAATATTAAAATTAATATGGTGGTAAGAACTATTATACCTCATTTACTTTTTGCAAACATATTTTTACGTATGGAGCTAATTATAGTATTTTTCTTAAAAGAGAAAAATATTTTTATGACCTATCTAAGAGATTACCTTGAACATATTTCACGTTTGTCTTTGAAATCGATAACAAAAACGCAATTTAAATCAGAACAAAAATACATACATTCATGTTAGTTACAATTGTAAAAAAATCCTGTATTCTAAAAAGTTAAGGCACTGGTCAAGGTTTCTTAATAATATAGATTTAATTGACATTTAATAAAGTGCTTTAAGCATATTGACACCTTCAAAACTGCTCTACATAATGACTCATACCTTTATTTGTTATTAACATAATTATAACACATGATAGTAACGAATGAGTCCATATTTATAGTATCAATTAGCCTTGGCATTTGGAATATTAATATTATAAGTACTAAGCATATGAAATAAGTACTAAGCGTATCAATGCACTAAGTGATTTTTACTCTATTTATAGGTAGGTTTGTAAGATTTATACGATGAATCGTCGTATTACGTAGGGGTACCTGAAATCGCATAAAATAAATATATGTCGCTAACACTTTTATACAATATGCTCTTAGGAGCATTATTAGTAATACTATTTTTGATCACAGATATGGCTTAACATACGAAGAAATAGAAAAGGGTCTACCCCTCATAGACACTTCCCGTACACTTATCCGAGAGGTGTGTCCGCCAGTTTTCTCACATGTAGAGTGCCGAGCAGGAAAATACCGCCGTCTTGATGGACTTTGCAATAACCTGAGACATCCTACATGGGGAGCGACTATGGTACCTTTCCAAAGGTATGTATTATTTTAGGAATTAAATAACTTATTTCGTTATTGCATTAGATTAAAAAAAATATGATGACCAAATTTGGTTTCATATAATTTTCAAATTATTATAATTATGTAAACATATTTATCTGCAAACAAAAATGTAGAATTTTTGTTTGCAGATATTGCTAAAACATACTGTTAGCAAAGATCTGTATAAATTAACATTTGAAATATTTCTTCTTACATCCAAAACATTTACATATCATAAGGCTTGATGCTTCCAATAATATTTGATATATTAGAAATGAATTATTATAAAACATTTTATATCTTTATACTAACGTTTACTTTATTAATTAATAGCGGCTCACCCTCGCTTCGCTCGGGTTCGTCCCTAGCTTGCATCCCAATACAAAGTTTCATCCCCATTTTCACCCCCTTAAGGGATGATTTCCGGAATAAAAAGTATCCTATGTGCTTTCCAGGATCTCAAACTATCTTCTTACCAAATTTCATCTAAATCGGTTCAGCAGATCCAGAGATTACCCCCTACAACGTCACAAACTCACAAACTTTACCTCTTTATAATATTAGTGTAGATTAATGTTGCTTATTAAAGATTAATCGGTCCACTATTCGCGGACGGTATCAATGCGCCGAGAATATCGCACACCGGTCGCGACCTGCCTCTGTCCCGAGTGGTCTCGCGTACGATGCACCCCGATGAAGGTTTCCATGACCATGCTGGTACGGTCATGGTCATAGCCTGGGGTCAATTTATGGATCACGACTACACTCTTACTGGAACTCCGCTAGGTGAGTAAATCTTGATTGTATTTCTATCTATTTTTAGATGACACGTTTGGATCAGTTTGTAGTGACCCTACTCGTTGTGCCAACGGTCGCGGATTCGAGTCCCGCTGGGGAATTCATTTGTGTGATGAGCACGAATGTTTGTGCTCCAGTCGTGGGTGTTTATATTTTATAAGTGTGTATTTAAAGTTATATGTGTAGTGTATCAACTATATGGTATCCATAACACAAGCGTCGTAGCTTACCATGGAACTAGATGGTGTTATATGTTAATGACGCAACATATTTATTTATTTTATATCTTTATTTATGCATGAGTACCAACGTAAATCACGAACAAAAAGTTTAAATTTTTAATATAATAAATACCTACCTCATTCACAGTCATACCTGTTTATAATTCAAAATTATAATATTATTTATTTTTGACATTTCTATTATTTTTATTCTGATTAGACCCAATCCACCGCAACGACCCAGAGGAATGTTGCAAGCGTCCCCCTCACCTCAAGCACCCATACTGCAATGAGATTCGAGTACCCGACGATGACTACTTCTACAGGCTGTTTGGTGTCAAGTGTATAGACTTTGTTCGAGGATTCCCCTCACCACGTCCCGGATGCCGTCTAGGTAAGAGTCATATCTTACATGAATTATAATGGATTATTTTATCTTAAACAATTACGTCATAAGAATAAAAATTAAAAACAATACAACGAGAAATAATATCTCGTCTTCGCTTAACACAAAGAAAAGAAAATGTATGTGAACAAAATTTTTAGGTGTGAAAGCCGTTCGTGCCGATAAAACTTTACTTAAGTAGAGAAGTGGAGTACCAAAAAATACAATCATTTCAATTTTAGCACTAATTTTCAAGTGTTTGAGCATTATTTGTATTGATGAATATCTGTCCATATTTTTTCTAAAAATTAAAACAATTGTCATTAAAATAATTGAGTAAATCTTAATAAGATTAGTTTGGCGCTATAAACAAAATCATATATTCCATATTACACAGTGATTCTGAGAATTAAGTAACATTTCATACTACTGTAGCAAGTACTCTTACAAAATTACTTAACGACCGCAAACAGCAATCGATCACTTGTGGTCTCTTGTCTTTCATGCAAACTAGTGCGCACTGACATATGACACTTGCATTGTTCTGCAACACCAATTACTAACACCTCTGTTATATGAAACTCCATAATGGTCGTCAAAAAGCTATCTATAACCTTGTATTGTTAAATTAAATGGTTTCAATTATTCCAAAGTGACAATTGTTATTATTTATCGCCTGTAATTGGTATCGGAACGAACGTATGATTTATGTGTAGGAGCAATTTAAGTTATTTAAATGCATATAGTCGTTTATTGTTTTCTAAATAGAAAATTGCGTTTTATAATAACTTACAGCTTTACATTGTTGTCTATTATGTTCTAGAATATATCATAGATGACATCATTATGTCATCTATGATATATTTTAGTACTTTGTATTGTATAATATCTATACAAGTAGGTTCCGACTTCCAATACTTCATCTTAATCAAAGGAATTGGACAGCATGAATAGAAGATAGATTACGCTTTCTCTAAATCTATCGCTCAGCGCACTATTTGATTTAATAAAAATATGTAAAATATAGCAAAATGCATGAACGAAATAATTTTTAATGAATCTGTTTGAAATTAGAAAAAACCATAAAGTACAAAAACACCATACAATACAATACAAAACATGCAATCGTACAATCATACAAAATCGCCATACAATACATGCAACATGATTTTTAATCATTAGGATTGTAATTTGATAAGAAATAGATTAACGTGCGCCTTCATACATTTTCTTTTTTTATTTAAAATAGAATATACACTTTATTTTCATGTTTTATTAGTTTTACTTAAAAAATAATAACTCATATCCTAATCCTAAATGTTAACTCGAGTAATAATTAACTACACAAGATTTTGTTAAAGTCGGTCCAGTAGGTACTTTTTGCGTGAAACGCGTATATAAACAGACAAACAGACATACAAACAGATTTAAAAAAAAAACATGTATAGATTTCGATAAGTTACAGTTTTATTAAAGAATTCACTTCGATGTAAATATGCACACATAAAAAAACGCTATATATAAAAAGTATATGTATATATTTATTTTGCTATATTTATTATTCTTATTTCGTATAAAATATGAAGAAAAATGTTATCTCATCATCAATTAATAATACAGAAATATGACGCCTCTTAGCCTCGGTTGTCGCCAGTCACCGCTCCCGCCGCGTCGTAATAGTTTTTTATTCAAAACATCTCTATTGATGCATTATGTCACGATCATTACGTTATTCCACTCACCGGTGTATACAATTTGAGTTACTTTGACCGGTTTGTGACCCGGGCATCTGCCGAGTGAGCGGCGAAAGTAGTTCGTTACGTGTTTCCTTGCGTAATGTAGTGCAAAAATTGTACAAACATTACATGTAAACAAGGTTAAACCATGCATATCTCTTTTTAATACAATAATTTTTTTTAATACTCTAATTGACTTTGTAATAAAATATTTTATAGCTATGCGAAATTGCCCGCAGCGCCTATATTTGCCTATTTATAATATAGTCATAAATAACATAGATAGACATTTATATAACCTTACGTAGTTATATTCCCATCATAAAATTCATTTTAAATTACTCAGATTGGTAGCGAGTTTTATACATTAAATTATTCTCTTACAAAGTGAAATCTCAAATGTTTTCCAAACACCTCAAAATATATGGTGACTTGCTACTGCAAGGCAAATAATGATAAGGTTTTTCTTTAACATCTATACAAAAACCTACTGTCATAATTATTCAAACCGAAATCAAAGCTATGAACTAAGTAAGGCTTTTTACTTAGGATATCATAAATCTTACAAAATAGCACTTATAATAAACAAATTGAACATAAATAATATTTTATGTGAAATCGGGCGTCCAAAATGCTATACATAAAATTTAAATAATAATAAATGTTTTTAAAAGTAACTTTTAAATCTTACATAATTTAATATTACAAGACTTATAAAAATATTTTATCTTTGTACTTTACAGGTTCTCGAGTGCCTTTTAACACGTTAACAGGAGCTATTGACGGAAACACTGTCTACGGCGTTACAGAGAAATTCTCAAGGTAGATATAATAAATTTATTATAAGTATACAAGATTTATTATTTGCATAAAATTTAAATATAATAAAAATAAGATTTTATTTGTATTTAACGCGTGTTAAATATGAATTTTTGATCTTTGTTAGAATATTTTTGGCACTTGTTACTTTTGTAAGGCTGTAAAATTGGCATAAAGAATTATTTAGCCATTTGAAATTATATTTTATTATCCATAAAGAAATAACAGTATTGAAATATTCGTATTAAATATCTATTTTGTAAGGTTTTTCTTTGTTATTACAGAAAGCTACGAACTGGTTACGGTGGACTTTTACGGATGAATCCTGTGTTCAAGGAATATGGACTAAAAGATCTTCTCCCTCTTAAATTGGATATTCCTGACGAAGGGTGCACGAGACCTAACAAAAATATGTATTGTTTTGAAGCTGGTAAGTCAATATTACTGTTAAAATAAGATATTTTCTTAACAGATAATTGATACCTACTTCTGTCTCTCGTGAACCCTAAAGTATCTGAAAAATAAGAATTGATCGCTAAAGTAAAATCAAAACACTAAACGCGCTTATTGGTAGTAAGCAGATTAGCCACTAGCTCGTCGTTTCACGGATGAACTCACTTATATGTTTGTAATGCCTATAAAATTGTAGATCACTGCCCACAATCAATAAAATTAATAAAACTGTTTCTGTTGCTGATAATAAGGCACTCCTATGCACACGATGACTTTACTTATACTCGCAGACGAAGCTCTTAAGAATGTGGTGTGCATAGGTCCTCTAATATAAACTGCTTTTAATATTTAAATAACGAGTAAGTAAATCTAATTTCAATCTCTCAATAATATTTTTATTTTAGGTGAGATCCGAGTAAATGAGCAGCTAGTACTGACAGTGATGCACACGCTGATGGCGCGCGAACACAACCGGGTGGCGACCGCGCTCGCCGCCGTCAACCCGCACTGGGATGACGAGACCCTGTTCCAAGAGGCGAGGAGGATCAATATCGCTGAAATACAACATATAACCTACAATGAATTCTTGCCCATTCTACTTGGTAAAGATGTTATGGAGAAATTTGGTCTGGTGCTAGAAAAGGAGGTAAGTAAAACTATAGCCATTTATATTTATATATTAGATTTTTCTCGCAGCTTCTAAACGTCGTGTGAAATCAGATGACCTCCTCAAATGGAATCCCTCCTCCTCATTAAATGGAAAAACAATATTACAAATCCGACTTGCAGTTTTAAACATTAACGCGTGCACACAAGTAAACTCTTCAGGTTTATGATATTAGTACTTTTTACCTTTATGATATTGCTTTTTTCATTCATTAATTCGTATTAATTATTATGGTTAAATAATTAATACGAATAATATCTTAAAATTGTATAAACCTTAAAAATAATCAATTTTCTAATTTTGTCTAGGGTTACTGGGACGGATATGATCCCGAAGTAAATCCCGATGTGATAGCATCTTTCGCAGCAGCCGCTTATCGTTTTGGACATTCACTTTTACCCACTGCCGTGGAAAGATGGTCTAAAGCTCATAAATTTATTGGTAATTTTACATTTATTCTAAGTACTTCATAAAAGAACCAAATAGTTCAATTGAATTGGAAATCGGTTTAGACATTTTTATACATAATATTCCAATATGATTCAATTCACTTTTTTGTATTCAAAACCAGCAAGTAAAGGGAAATAAATATATTATAAAACATTACTAACAATTATTTTTTCAACAGCATCAAAGAGGTTATCCGATCTTATAAGAAGACCGTACGATTTGTACAGAGCTGGTGTTTTAGATGAGTATGTTATGGGTTTAATGAACCAAGTCGCTCAAGCTATGGACGATTCTATCACTCAAGAAGTGACGAACCATCTCTTTAAGAAAGTTGGCGCACGATTTGGAATGGATTTGGTTTCTTTCAACATGCAACGAGGTCGAGAGTTCGGTCTGCCAGGATATATGGAGTTCAGGAAGTTCTGTGGACTTTCTGGAGCTGACTCTTTCCAAGATTTGTTCGGATCTATGGCAAATGAAACTATTCAGAAATACGAATCCATTTTCGAACATCCTATTGATGTCGATTTATGGTCAGGTGGAGTTTCAGAGAGACCTCTTCCTGGTTCTATGTTAGGGCCTACCTTCGCTTGCATCATCGCCACCCAGTTCTCTTATTCGAGACGAGGTGATAGATTCTGGTAATTTGATTCAAATAAGTTTACATAATATTTTACTTTCTAATTACTTTAGTAAAAAAAATATATTTATTTAGCTTATTATTACTGCTAGAGGCACGCAAGTCAGTCAGTTTAAAAGTCCACGCTTTTAAATTCTAATAAACTCAAACTCTGTTTTACGTATATATGTACGCTTTCACACTGCATTTCGCACCATTCTGCATAATCCTCCGATATTCCTACCATATAAATTTTAAATAATACTAAATTTTAAGTACGTTTTATTATAGTATCGCTTTATTGTTCGTTTTAGGTTCGAATTACCAAACCAACCATCTTCCTTCACACCGGAACAGTTAGTAGAGGTCAGGAAAGCGCGACTTGCTCGTGTTATTTGCGACAACACCGACATCATCGATACGGTGCAACTTTACCCCATGGTGTTGCCCGATCATGAATTGTAAGTTATTTCTTATATTTAATTTTACATAGGCCTATTACATGTAACCATTTCTTCTCTTAATTTTACTAATGTCATTTAACTTCGTGGTTATCTGCCTGTATCTTATTGTGGGTTAGATTCTTGTTCAAGACTGAAATTTAACAGACGGCATTTAATATGAAATATTATTATTATTAAAATCATTAATATTCATTGAAAGCTTCGTAAAATATATGTATGTATACCCGTTAAACTAACTCTCCTTCTACATTGAAAACTAAATCAGATTTTTTACGCTAGAAATCCTCGAGTACCGTGCAGAAGTGGCATTATTCCATCAATGGACTTTAGTAAATGGGCTGAACCAACACCTTTCGTAGCATCGAAGGAATACGTAAGTAGTTTCTCGTACAACCCCTACCACGGAAAGTAACCGCACCTCAAATTGTTTAAAAAAGTAGAGAACTGAAATAACGGTATTAAAATAAATATACTGCGAGTATTGCAATAATATTATATAATAAATTCTCAAGGTTTGATACTCAAGGAAGTTTTATTAATAATTATACATATTGGTTGTCCATTAGAGCGAAATTAATATAAATTTTATGTGTTTATAAATAAATAAAGTCATCTTAATTATATCAGTCCTCTGCTATCAATTGACAACAAATTACAAAGGTATATAGCGACACAAAAACTATTCAAGAACTTGCCTTTATTGTAAATAATTATAATTTAATACTTAAATTTAAAGTGTCGTTATTGCCTTTGAATTATCACTGTAATTAGAAGTAGTAATTCAATGCTCAGATTTATAATAAGTAGTTTAGTATCTGGTTTTAGATGAATTATATCACTACGTACTTATTTAGAACATTTAGTCAATAGATTTAAAATTGAGTGTTGTAATCGAATAGTATCAATATATAAATTATTTGCCTGTTTAAGTTTGTGTTGTATCATTTATGTAAATCTTATCACAGAATTGAGGATAATGGCTTGAGGCGTTATGGTATCAAATCAGCATTTATACCAATTTAACTTAGTTTAATAAACTTAAATAAAAGTAAAGTTTGTAAATATGAACTCAAAATAAATAACTTAATAAATGTAATAAAAATTATATTTAAAAAAAATATCGAAATTTTAAAATATTTTCGTTCTAAAACACTGCGCTTTCTTATCACTTTTCAATCATACATTCTCTGATAAGATTTAGCTCTTCTTCAAATTTCAATGATCATGCAAAAATAATAAGTTTTCATTTGCATGTTTATTGAAATGTATTATTATGAATAAGGTAAAATGTGTACAAAATAAAAGTAGAGCGACTTCTATTGAACAGTCACACGCGTAATTGCCATATTTCTTTAGATCCACAGTAGAGTGTAAGATTGTAGTGGGATCAGTACACGTAGTTATTAAATAGTAGATAGCTATATCTTTGTATATAGAATTGTAACCAAGAGTCAACACATGACAAAGTATAAATATTAAGTAAAGTGTTTTTACTTTCAACTTTTAAATAGTTTAAAAGTAACCCTAAAATTAAGTTTTTTCGAACTAATAAAGTAAGAAAGAAATAAGCTAGATGAATTGAAATTAACCTTTTAATTTATCATGTGTTGTCCTTAAGTTGGTAGTAAAAGAGGTAAGGTTAATAAATTACTTTTTAACTAAAAAAATGTAACACTGACTTCAAAATAACTTTAAAGTAATTATCCCACCCTTAGGGTGCGTCCCATATGCCCTTGAGGTATTACCTATTCATTAAAAAAGAATGCCTCATCCTTTTTGAAGTCGGTCAAAATTATCTTTTAAGTAATAAGGTTTGTATGATTCTCGAAGTATTATATGCAAAAATAATACTGTAATTGTGTAGATAATATCCATTATATAACAAACCTAATTAAGAAGTACAAAACTTTTTTACACAATACATTCATACAAACTTTATTCTCTAGCGCAATATTCGTTAATTTTTATTTATTTTATAGTCAGAATAGTATTTAGTTGTATCTAATGCATGATAAAATATTTTGTATTGTAAATAAAAGTAAGTAAAACGTTGAAAATTATATTTGTTTTTTCATTTCTATGACCAAATATTCATTGTTATCCATCATTAAATCGTTTTCCCCGCTACAATAAATAAAGTTCTCTTGATCTTTTTCTAGATGACCGACGCTTTTACATGCAATAAAATGTTAAATAATACTCTAAATAATTCTGACTTGAATTCAACAAAAAATTCTACCACCAATTGGATTAAAAATAATGATTGCAATACAACTTCATCGCATCAAAATGTTACACAAAAATTGATCGTCAAATTAAGTAATCAAGAAGTAAATCCAATCGAAAATGGCACAGTATTGAAATACGTATACAAGAAAAATAAGAATGTTTCTGTCCCTGACAAATCAAAAGGACATTTTAAAAATAGTTTAAAAAGAAGAAAGAGATCCGAAATTACTAACAACAATAAAAAACTTGCAATGTTGCTTGATTTAAATATTATGAACGATAGTAAGGACAGAGAAGAATTGAATATGCCGGAACTTACTCCAGATGGAATTATCAAAAGTGTTAATCTAGCAGATTTTAATATCGAGACACTACATAATAACATTAATCCTTTAAATAATTTTAATTCTTCGAAAGATAAACAAAAGCATTTCAAAGTAATTAAAAGTAGGCAATTTGATACCAAAGATGTAAAAGCCCCAAAAGAACGTTTTTACCATTTAGAAAGTGAGGAAATCGATACATCTAATGTATCAAGTGAAGAAGAAAGAAATAAAAAAAATATTAAAAATAATAAAGTCTCGTCAAAACACAATGAAGATGATGAAAAAGATTTGCCGAATAACAGTAAAAGCGAGGAAGATTTCTCTAGGGAGCATATGATGACTGAAAGTGTCGAAAGTGAAGAAAAATATGTTGAAAATGATAAACCAGAGAAGAAAATAAATGATAAAACTGACGAGTATGCCCCCAAGAAACTCTTACAAGTAAATCATAAATTTGGCGAAAATAGTAGAGAAACTGAAGAAGACATAAAAGATTTGGCAGTGTCAAGAGAAGATTACAGTAATCTACCCACTCAAAACACTTTGAATAATTCAAAAGTTATTAAAGATGTAGATTTAGGAGATTTTAGCTATGAAAATAATCACAGGAATAGCGATGAAGGACTTGCATCTAAGAATAATTCACAGAAACAGTTTGGTATTGACTCCAATGTAAAAGTCACTCCTATAGAGGAAACAATTTCAACAATGGCAAACAGTAATGAACAATATTCAGTTGAGGAAAGTAATGATTCCATTGAAAATGAAAAGCAAGTAAATATTAATGATGGTGAAATAAGACCTGTTGTAGAATTAACAAAAGAAGAAGATAGTATTGAGGAGAGTGAAGAAAATAATAATGAACAAATTAAAGCTAACTTAAATGACGGATATGATGCAAAGGTAAACTCTGAAAAAATATTTGAACTAGAACCAGTAATTAGAGAACAAGATGAGGTTAATGTAAAACAACAATTTGAAAGAATACCTCTAAATTATAATCATTCAGCTATAAAATCTAGTCCTTTAGATAGTACTGAAGATAGTAACAATAATGATACAGAAGGTACGCTAGACTCACTTTCACCTATTATTAATAATAAATTTGATGACAATTTGAATATTAAATTCACTGACCTTACCATCAAACTACCTGAAATTAATTTACCGGAAGATATATTATCTTATGCACGTGAAGAATCTGAAAGTGAGAAAAATAAAGACAAAGAAAATACTAAATATTACAATTATGAAGACAGTTATGAAGATTCTAAAGAAAATTCTGAAACGCCAAAGAAAAAGGAGGAAGAAGAAGAGGAAATTGATAATTTTTATTCACCTTATTTTTCTTTGTCTAAAGATAAATTACAAAAATCAACGGCTCAAGACAAATACGACGAAGATAACGAAGAAGATTACGAAGATTTGTACGAAAAATTTGTTCGAGAAAGGTTTGGTAAAAGTAAAGGAAGGTCAAACAAACAAGATTTAAAACGCAAACCAATTAACTCTAAATTATACGAAACAGTCCAACGTGTAATAAAAAAGACTGATAATATTGAAAAAGAAGCTTTAGAGAGTAGAAATCCAGATGCTGGTTACTCTTGGACATTGGAATATGGTGAAAACTTATAAACTATATTTTTGTTTAATAGCTTTAAACTGTTGTATTACAAAACGATTATTAATGCAAAAATGTCACAATGAAATTGTTAACATATGTACAATATTAAAGTTAGGTACTCGTTCGTCCGTCGTCATAATTATGGCAGGGCGATATTGTCGATTAGACAGTAAACATATAAATTTAATAATTAATATGAAGCTAAAAGATATTTAATTTAAATTGTACAATATAGAGTAGTTATAAAATGTTAAGTTACATGTATTATAAAAATATTATCTTTAATAATAATATTATTTAATTAATAAATTTAGACTGATACGTTTATTCTTTTATTTTGATACAGACGTGGCCCAGTTACAATTTCATTATCCTACATATTGATAATATATTAAGTTCTTTATTAAACCAATGCATCTCCTTTGATATCAGAAAAATAATTAACTTGTATGTTAAGCGCTACAAACTCAAAAAATAAAAATCCCTCATATAGATCAATAGAGATTTAGTTTATTCTCTAAGACACCATAAAGACATACTTTGTTATCTGTATTTCTTTCTTGAATCTGTATTCTGTCACTTAAAAATTCCTATTTCCTAACCTATTGTCATAAATGTCATATTACTAATCACACCGAAATTCGAATTGGTAAATCCTTGTTGATTTAAATATATATACATTTTTATATTAAATTGATATTACTGCTACAATATTTCAACAACCATGGCTGATGAAATCCAGAAAAAACTGCAAAAAGAGTTCGAAATTTTCAACAATTTAAAAAAAGAATATCATAAGGCTGTTGCTCAAAAACAACAATTAGATAGCAAATTGAACGAAAACAAAGCAGTAAAAGAAGAACTTATGTTATTAAAAAAAGATGCTGAGGTTTACAAACTTCTAGGCCCTGTTCTAGTAAAACAAGAATTAGAAGAAGCTAGACAAAATGTGTCCAAAAGGATGGAGTATATTAGCAAAGAAATCAAGAGATCAGATGGACATATCTCAGCTCTGGAAAACAAACAAGAAGCAGTACAAGAAAACCTAAATAAATTGAAAAATGATCTTGGTAGCTTAAAGGTAGCATAAATTATTTTGGAAAGTATTATGACTATCATTAATGTCCCAATATTTTCTACTTCATCTAAAGTTACTGATAGTTCTCTATTAATCAAAGCTTTTAATTTAAAATGTCTCATATGTTTATAAAAACTAGTTTTTAAAATATGTCATCTATATAAATAAATAAATTTTATTACATTGGCATTGTTACTTGATGTTGTTAACCAGTAAAAAATTTAATAAAATCATATTGGCAAAAAAATTTACAGTATTCCAATATACATATCCATTGGCATAAGTTTTTGTACTGTATCTTTCTTTTCTCATTGATTAAATAAAACAATAGATTAAACTAAAATTATATTAAAACAAGTTGGCTAATTGGCTTTACATTATTTCAAATAATGAATAAAATGAATATATAAAAATATTATTTCTTTTATTATTGGAACATCCAGATTGTAAAAAGTAATTTCAGAATTGATCTTTATCTCATGCTGAAAAGTTTAATATTTTTTATTAGTATTTCTGCACAGTTTAAATGAAATTACCAAGAGAATTGAATTGAGTTTAAGTAATTTGAAAAATATTTTTTTCAGTTACACTTTAAAAAAAACACTTGAATAGTCAACTTAAATGAGCCAAGGTAGTCAGACCTTTATCTTTAGGAATTTTATTATATGTTAAGAGGTGGTGTAGTGTAGTAGTACATATCGTGAAAATTGCTCTCCTCAACGCCAGTGTTCACAAATTCGAATTGGCACATACAAAGAATATTTTCATTAACCATGTATATGTTTTTGTCTAAAACCATAGATGACATAATAATATACTTACTTGTACATACGCATCAGGCAGTACTGATGGTCACCGTGGAGTAGGCTTCTTAGTTAAGTCTAATTACTAAAACAAGATAAAAGAATTCGAAAGGATATCGGACCGAATAGCAATTCTCCACATCAATATCTCCAACCATAAAAAAGACTGGTCTATTATCCAGGTATATGCGCCTACAGAGCAAGCTAATGAGAACGACACAGTCCACTTTTATGACTGTCTATCAGGAATCGTGGAAAAATACTCTAACAATCACCTTATAGTGATGGGAGATTTTAATGCTCAAGTTGGCACGAGACAAGCAAGAGAGGACTTAATCATGGGAAAATTTGGCCACGGAAAGAGAAGCACCAATGGTCACAAGCTGGTCGAATTCTTGCTCGAAAACAATTTGACACTGTTAAACTCGATTTTAAAGAAAAAACTTAAGAACAAATGGACATGGATATCCTCGGATGGGCGGACTAAAAATGAAATTGATTTTATATTAACGAACAAACCCAAACTAAGGACACACACATAATTCAGAACCTAAACTTCAACACAAACCACCGCATGGTACGAAGTTGTCTAATCTCTGCACCACCTAAAATGTCTAGAAAATTCATAATCAATAGAAACCTCCTACCTTCAGAACAAGAACTCATTAAATTGGATAAACCTGATACCAAACCTCTTCTGGAAATTGTTAAGTCCGAAATAGATGTACTAGAAAAATACAATAAGGTAGAAAACAAGCTCACCAAATTAACAAAAACCAGCATAACAAACAAAAGAAAACCAAAACACAGCGAAAAAACCTTAAATAACCTAGAAGAAAGAAAGAAGTTGCTTTTGGAAAAAGATAACGTAAACAAAATCTCTGCGCTTAGCAAAAGAATTAGGGAAAGTATGAAAAACGACAGAAAAACAAGAAGACTTCAAACTTTAGAAAAACACATAGAGAACAGGAGGCATAAAGAAAGCCCTAAAAGAGTTAAGAGAGAAAGGGAAAGATTAGATACCAAAAATGAAAAAGAACCAAACTTGCATTACTAAACGAAAAGATATACAGAGATTAGCGACAGACTGTTTCCGCACATTTTACTCCAACAACCATGCTAACGACGTAAATCAGCAAGACAAATCTGATCCTCAACTCAAAGAAGACTCAATACTATCTATACTTGCAGGAGAGGTCGAAAAGGCCATAAATTCCCAAAAACTAGAAAAAGCACCGGGACCTGACAAAATCCCGAATGAGCTAATGAGATGATCAATAGAGGAATTAAGCCCAATACTAGCAGTGGCATTCAACGACATCCTGAGCACAAAACTCATTCCAAATCAATGGGGCGAATCCCACATAATCCTTATACACCAAAAAGGCGCTAAAGATGAGACGGGTAACTACCGGCCTATAAGCCTAATGTCTAATATATATAAGGTGTTTGCCAAAGTCTTACAGGAGGGAATATCAAAAACGCTGGACGAGAATCAACCGATGGAGCAAGCAGGGTTTAGAAAGAATTTCAGCACTATTGACCATATCCATACTGTGAAACAGATCATCCAGAAATGCAACGAATACCAGAAACCCCTATACGTGGCTTTTATTGATTATTCTAAGGCATTTGATACGCTCAACCACAACCACATTTGGTCAAGCTTAAGACAGCAGGGTGTTAATGAAGTCTATATAAATTTAATTTGAAACATCTATAGTAAAAGTAAAAGTAGCATAAAACTAGAAGAAACTGGTCACCCATTCCCTATTAACAGAGGAGTTAGACAAGGGGGCCCACTATCCCCAAAGCTCTTCTCAGCTGTTTTAGAAAGTATATTTAGGAGTATAGACTGGACTGGCTTAGGTCTAAATATAAACGGCTGTCGTCTTAACCACCTGCGATTCGCTGATGATATTGTTCTGTTCGAAGAGGATCCCAAGAAACTAGAACTTATGATCAAAGATCTGGCTGCGAAAAGCAAGGAAGTAGGGCTAGAAAGGAACAAGAACAAAACTAAACATGTAGACATAACAATCAATGGTGATCTTTTCGATTATGTTACCGAATATGTTTATTTAGGACAAATAATTTCTCCAAGCGACCAAATGACTAAGGAGATCAACAAGAGGATAGCATATGGTTGGAAGAAATATTGGTCTTTGAAGGAAGTAATTAAGAGCAAAGTGCTGGGAATCCATCTTAAAAGGAAGACCTTTGACATATGTATCTTACTATGCTTGACCTACGGATGCGAGACCTGGTCGCTAACAAAGTTCCATAGGGAAAAACTTTCAAAGTGTCAGCGTGCAATGGAGCGGAGTACGTTGGGAGTGAAATTAAAAGACAAGATCCGCAACGATGATATCAGGTCCAAAACAAAAGTTACCAACACACGCGAGTTGACCAATTAAAATGGAGATGGACTGGGCACCTACTAAGAAGTAGCCTGGATAAGTGGAGTAAACGTGTAAAGATCTGGTACCCCAGAGACGGTAAACGCAAAAGAGGGCGTCAGATAAGGAGATGGGAGGATGAAATCCGCCAAACTCTAGGGCCACTGTGGACACGAGTGGCGCTGGATAGAGCCCAATGGAGGATGGAGGAGGCCTTTGCCAAAAGGCACATAGAAATCAGAGATATTTTGTAAATCCTAAAACAACTTTATCTGCATAACTCTGTAACTCTGACTACTGAAATAAAGGCTATTTCATTTTACATACGCATCACGCCTAATTAAGAAATTGGGTCTATTCTAAGGGCTATTTTCGTTCGCTTGAATAGAAAATAGACGTCATTGATCCGCAAGCACTAGATATGTTATTTTATAAATAAATGTAAACTAAAGTATATTTACTAATGCAAAATTCATCCTGCATTTATTAAACAAATTTAAGTAATATTAAAAAAATGCCATCTGTGAAGGTGCCCATTTTTTAGTAATTAGTGTTATTACGCAAATTTCATTAACGAGCATATTATTTCATTTTGCTGCTCTTAGAATATTTTATTAAAATCATAATATATGTAAATCGATACATATACTGCCGTCTATTGACATATATTTCAAAAAAAAAAGCCACATACGATAAAGTTTTGCTACACACTTGTGTTAAATGTTAATTCAGAAAATTTTCCATCTGCACTCTGCACTCTACACATAGAAGTATAAAACACATTGTTCTGTATACAATATATTTATTTCATAAAATTCATATTATATTCTTATAACTAATGGCACATATTAGCTAAACAATGCAAATACATTTGTAACAATTTGTCATAATTATCTAAAAAAATGGCTTATATATTAGTATCTATTAATTAATCTATATAAAAATATTTATGACACTTCTTAGTACTTCAATACCATCCTATAAGAATACTTTAAAATATAAAAATATATTTTTTATCAAAATCATTTAATCTATGTTCTTATACCAAAAATCAGTCAAAATTAACAATATTGGTCCTCAGTAAATATTGGAATCTAATGTCAATCACTATCAACAGTATAAAAATACATATATTTATTTGTATATATAATTATTCTTAAACTTATATTTCATTATAAAATATAATTTTTACTTAATTTTACTTTGTACGCATGGTACGCTGCAAAAAGGCATTTCCTGTTTAACAACAAATCTTCCACTTAGTAAGCTCTTCCCACACATCCGGCCTGAACAAATAAAGCATTCTGCATGCCAGTGCGTATTTCCCCAAGACACCCCTTGTTGTTCTGGACCAATCACCCCTCCACATGCTTTGCAGCGTTCTGCATAAAACTGATCATAACACGTTAAACATATTGGTAAGCCGGTTTTATCATCTGGAACATATTTCTTCCCACCAAGAGGAGCATCACAGTGATAACAGCAGAAGTGTTGCACATGGAACGCTCTACCTTCTGCTGCAGTATAGGGCCTTGTGAATATTAGTTCATCGCATCCAGCACAACGCGGTATTCCCAAAACATTGGCCAAATCTCTAGCACAATAGATATCTCCATTGTAATAGAAGTAGACAAGATCCGCTAGGAGTTCTCCACACTTGCAGCATGTAAAGCATTGTGGATGCCATATAGCTTCTTGACCGGCCCTCTCGGCTTTAACAGCTACTTCACCAGCGAACATTGGCTTGTCACAGCGCTGGCACGGGACACCTTCGTTATACAGCTTTCTGTTGAACTCCATTTCTGCTGGACTCAAAGACATATCAGCAAATTGTGTTAGAATAGGATCTAGTTGTTGTGCATAGTTACTAATTTGGACCGGATTTCCTGTATAATCGAGTTGTGCGTTAGAGATTGAAACTGGGTTGCCGATGTGATCGATTTGCGCGTTGTCAGTTTGTATGGATAGGCCTGGGTGCGTGCTATAATTAGGCAATGGTGGTGGAACATCTTCCACAGAGTGGGTTCTACGGTATTCACGCAACGGTGCAGTTTGTTGCGGTTCAACTTGATTTATTGGTTTCATGGTCGTCGAATACTGCGGATTTATCTTAGTAGAGCACAGGGTGCCGCTGTGTTCTGGTGTAGTCGGCTCATGTTTCCAGCTCCATATTTCACCGTTCGGTGCAAATATAGTGCCTTTTTGGATTCTACCATCCAACAATTTAGCAGTGCCCATCACATTATTGTTACTAACAGACCACAGGTCCGGCATTACTTGAGCTCCCAGCGCTTTGTTAGCAAATTCCTTCACTTCTTCTTTAAATTGAGGGTTCTTGTTATATTCGTCACGGAATAACTTAATAGGTTCTAAGTATACATCGTTAGTTACTGGCATGCTTAGATCGTTCAGATTCTTAAATAGCTTGTCATATATGGGGCCATGTTCAACAGCACTCTTGATCCTGTCAGATTCTATTTTCATAATATTTAATTTGTCTTTGACGACTCTGCTCAGTATTGGACTGGATTTGTAGTCGGGTAAGTATGCGGCACTACTTACAATGTTGCCTTGCGAGTCCAGCACAAGTTTCTTATCTGATGTATTTTTGGGCACTATATTGTATTTGACACCTTTCGATATATTCGAAATTTTTAATGGCAGTGCGTATGACTTTGTGGCAGTATGCGTTTTACTGTCTTCTACAGAATAGACCTCACCGTTTTGAAGTGGCGCCACTCTAACCACATTACCCATACCGACTACATGGTCCTTTATACGGGAAATATATTCCTGGAATAAAAGAAAAAATATGAGTAAGATCTAGAGTAAAAGAAACAATCGACATTATTTTGAATGGCAAACTATTTAATGTTTACAGACAAAGTAAGTTGATAATATATGATGCTAAAAAATAATATAGGACAATGGTAGCCGAGACAATTAATTGAAGCTGGTTCATATCCTGGGTTTCGCATCTCTGATATTTTTATGTGCTAATCATTTTCAATCTAATTACAAATCGCCTTACTGTGAAGGAAATTATTATAAGGAAACCTGCATGCTTGAAAGAACCTAACGATTTTTCGAATAACATCTTACATCCGTCATTATTTATTTTTAAAGTGAATATATACCTAAATATTCTGTGAATATTTCAAGCGTCTACCTGTTGCCGTTATCAATATCGAGCAAAAACGAGCAAATAAAATCACGTTTTTTGTATGGGAGCCCCCTTAAATATTTATTTTATTCTGTTTTTTAGTATTTATTGTTTGTTATAGCGGCAACAGAAATACATCATCTGTGAAAATTAAAAATTTCAACTTTCTTCATGAGATACTGTGTTCATGAGATACAGCCTGGTGATAGACGGCCAGACAGATAAACGGACGGACAGCGGAGTCTTAGCAATAGGGTCCCATTTTGCCCTTTGGGTACGGAACCCTAAATAAAAATGTCTTTTAACATACCGTATGTTCCGATTTCTCTTGATCAGAGGCGTGTGTTCGCACGGCGGGCGCCACATCGTGCGGGGGCAGTTGTGTGCGGAGTTGCGCTCGACGCTTCTTTGCCGCCTCCGACCCTGATACAGGCGCTAGTGGACCCAAGCATGACATGTATTCCGATACCTAGAATAACATTACAAATTATTATTGATAATATATAAGTACATACTAGGAGAACCCGCTGCTTCAATCGCGCTAAAACTACAAAAAGAACTAAAAAGATAGGTTTTCCCGTGGGAATGAGATAATCTCCCGCGATAAAAAGTAGCCTGTGTTACTCTCAAATTATCTCCACACAAAAACATACTTTATACATACCATAATATAATAATGACCTAACTAATCGATTTCGGTCAGGGGGGCCAACTTCATTGAGACTACCATTACTGCGTGGGACATATTTTAGTGTACACTGTACAAGTGTGTGTATGGACAAAAGCGCAGTCTCCCTCATATTCCGGATGACAACGAACGGGGAAAGATGAAGCGCGACATCATAACGCTCTGCGAGGCACGAGGAGGTAAACTTCGCCGACTTCCCAACTTCAATCTGCTACTGAGTGTTACAAGACTAAAAAACACAGTAACTGACTTAACTGCCTAACTCGGGATTCAAACCCAGGACCTCACGATATGCAGCCGTACATGGTACCTAAAGAGGCAATTAACATACAATTAGATATAATATGTACGTATATGTATCATAATGTTAACTTCAATAAACATAAAAAGTAAACCTTCAAATCTAAAAAAAAGGATTTGCAAGTCATAGTAATTAACCTTTAATAATAATTTACATTACGCTCGTAACTTACATTTTCTAGCGGCTTCGACAAGGAAAAACGTATCAAGCTGTCGTGTTTTTTTTTCAAGTCGAAAATTAATGAAATAACTACTTAAAATTAATCTAACAAGAACCCCCATTTTTTTATAAAAGCGGAACCGGATATAAATCAGTATAACAATTTTATATAATACTATCGACAGTCGAATCACCCTCGCTCCGCTCGGGTCCTGGTTACGTTTTAACGTTTAGTATAGATTTCTCAGAAATGCGACATTGTTAGTAAAAAGTACGCGTAGTATATTATGTTGATCCGGAAAATCAGCTATCATCATACCAAATTTCATCAAAATCTGTCCAGTGGTTTACTCGTGATGCGGCCAGAGACAGACAGACAGACAGACAAAAATTCTAAAAATTATAGATTCGGGCTCTGTATCGATAATAATGACTATATCAATAAGATTTTCCAAAAAATATTTAATTTACAGATTCGACTCGGTTAGAATTTTATTATGTTTAAATTATATTATATATATATCAAGGTAGACAGACATAAGTAATAATATTAATATTAATGCCAAAAAGAGAAGCCTGGAACGAATGAGAAGCCCTACTGACATATAACACGGGGCTAATCGGAAATTACAGGGATTAAGGATGTTGTCATTTGTGCAACCCTTGTACATTAGTAAGGCATACTAGTATTAGTCATCAGTACATTACGAAATTAATACTTTTTTTTAATTAAAAAACATTTAGTAACTGCCTCAGTGTTCTAGGGGCTAACATGCACGGCTACATTTCCGGAGTTCAAGTCCCGTGTCGAGCTAAGTTTAATGAAATGATTTTTTTTCTGTCAAGACATTCTCAGTAACAGCCCGGAGTTGGGTAGTTGGCGACGTGTCGCCCCCATGCCTAAGAGAGCACATAAAGCCGTTGGTCCTACACCTGATCTCGCATTAATCGTGGCAAATTGTTGCCCCACGGGAGAGTGAGAGTGACAGGAATGATGTACTTGCTTTTGCGCGCATACTTGTTCACTATAATATCTCCTGCGCAGTGGGCTAATCTCGGTGAGATTGGCCGCCGTGGCCGAAATCGGTCAGGAGAACTTCATGTACTATCGTTACGTGTTTTTTTGTCATCAGTTGCAAAAATGTAGAATTTGACTTAAAAAATATTTATTATTTTGTGGATATCTGCCTTCTTATATGGATATCTTGTCTTTTCCAAAACATTTAAGATCTGCTCGCAAATTTTGATTAAAACTAAAGCTTTTAAATATCCTACGTTAATTTTACTACATATCGCTTTATTTCATATTTTATTATTATACATTGCAAATACGAATATATCGCGCGAGTCGGCCCCAATATCGCTCGGAGCGGATATGCAGCTATTAGAGCGATAACCTCAGTTTATAAAATACACCGAAATAGCAATCACGAAGCAGCTTGTTATTACCAGGATCATGTTTACTATTGTTTAATATAGGAAAACTTGATGAACTATTCAATTTTTGTGATCATTAAAAAGATGAATATATATTTGGTGTAAATATTAAAACTGTTGAAATATTTCATGCAATATGTAGAATTATCGATATCCTTAGATAAATATGAAATACCAATTTTCAATACCTAATAATAATGGTTGTATCACTGACGTTATCACCTCTATCTTATCAGTCTGGATATTTTATTCAAAGTCAGATATGGCTCTAATACAGGATATGTTTTTAATACATTACTTACCAATTCTGTTGATGCATTTGGTGGTACCCAATCAAGTTTAACTGGCTTATCTGTAACTCCTCGAATTTTGATGAGAGGCACTGGAAAAAAAAAACTTACAATTATATCTATAGTTCAGCTTCTATAAATTATAAAAAATATATTTTTTATATCTATCATGTCATTGTATAGCCTATAAATACTTATTTAACAAAATATAACAAAAGATTCCCATACAAATAAGTTTTATAATATTAATTATTATATACTTACTAGAAGCTTTCTTAGGTTTTGCTGTTCCAAGAAGCTCAAATTGAGCCCAGCCTGATAAATCATCATCTTGCACGTCGTGCACATCCTTACTACAGTGACAGGCGCGGCAAACTTTACGCCAAAAATGCAAATCCAGACCTGGGCAACCTGATCCTGTAAATAATATTCTGTATGTAGTAAATGTCTTAATATAAGTTTATGTAAATACATATACAGTATATATAACAATCTATACTATCTATACTAATATTATACATGTGAATGTTTGTGAGTATGGATGTATGGATGTTTGTTACTCTTTCACAGCAGAACGGCTGAACGGATCTGGATGAAATATGGTACTGAGATAGATTATAGTCTGGAATAACACATAGGCTTCTTTTTATCCCGGAAAAATATATGGTTCCTGAGTGATAGATTTGTTTATAATATTTTTAACATTAAAGTTAAGATGTTAGGATGAATGTTTGTTACTCAATCACGCCAGAACAGCTGAACAGATCTTGATGAATTTTGGCACAGAGATAGATTACTCGTATAGTCTGGAAAAGCACATTGGCTATTTTGTATCCCGGAAAAATGTATGGTTTCCGTGGGATAGATTTGTTTTTGTTTTCCTAGAAGCAAACCAAGCGAATCGTGGATGAGCCGCTAGTAATGAATATATTTTAATTAACAAAACATTATTAAACATGTAATTATAACAAAAGACGCACATATAACAATCCCTACATTAAAATTGAATCATGATTTAATATTAAATGTAGGTTTATTAGTTAGTAATAATATTTATATTTAAGAGCTTTGATAAACATCATAAATAATAAGCAAAGAGATATGTATTATAAATCTATTTATTAATACACTAGCGGCTCACCCTCGCTTCGCTCGGGTTCGTCGCTAGGTACGTTTTAAATAGATATAAAAAAAAAAAATCTTTCTTTCTCACATTTTAATTATATGTTTTAATACTTACCTATTCCGGACTAAGAGAAATCCAAAAATTAAAATATCATAAAAATTTGAACGCGGTCGAACGGGATAAAAAGTATCCTATGTCCTTCTCCTGGCTCTAAACTACCTCCCTGCCAATTTTCAGCTAAATCGGTTCAGCCGTTCTTGAGTTATAAGCGAAGTAACTAACACGACTTTCTTTTATATATATAGATAAGTAGACTACTACACAAATTCAATGAAGAATGTCATAAGTAATAACCTACCACATGAGTTACAAGGTGCACCGGCGCCGCTATCATGACCAAGACGCGCTTTACTTAACTTCTCCCTTTGGCTTTCCAGCTTCGATAACCAAGCTGGCGCCTCTGGCGTCTCCACACATGATTCACTCATCTAGGTCAAACAAATAACAATACAATTTAATAACACAAAAGTGCAATAATATAATATGAGTCATAACAAAGCATACTTACATTTTAAAGAGTTATTATAATTTAGTTAAAAACATCAATAGTTTTAACGTAAATTAAATATTAAGCCAGTAAAGCACACAGAAGCTATGTTCAAAAAAACTTAAATTTCAAATAATTCCAGCAAAACAAAAACTACAGCAACTACACCGAGAAAACAACCATGAAAACAACACAAAATAACTGTCAATTGTCACACAACTCACAAATTATGTGTCAAATATTAGTATCAAACGCACAGACTAAGTAGAGGTACATCTACATACCTCATATTAACCACTTGAACCCCGCTGGTGCCTATAAGCATCACTTCCGGCGTTACCGTCAAACCCCGCTGGTGTCTATAGGCACCACCTCACCCGCTACACTTTTATCACTTATTACACGACGAAATTAGTTTATTTTATGCTCAATGATTGATACACGTAAACTTTAAAAGTTTCATTAACTATATAATAAAATAACATTTTAATTAAATGCTAACAAAATTAAAAACAAACGCATCAAAAATTGTTCAAATTTCAACTGAAGCGCGCGTGATTCGATTATTGTGTAATTTAAAATATTTAAACTAGTGAATTTGTGCCGTAAACGTATGAATATTTATTGTTAGAATTTTTGGCGACTATTGAGATACTAATAAGTGTATAATCACGTTATAAAATTAGTTTTTTGGGTCAAACGAATTTTGTTGTATAAAATTCGTGAAATAAGTCGCCATTATATAACATGAATTTTGACTTTTATTCTCTGCTTTGGTGCCTCATGAAGGTAACTCACTAAAGAAAAACTAATATAATTTCATATTTTCAATTGTTTGTAGCATATTTCAATAGTTTTATTTTATAAATTATGTTTATTTACAAATAATACCTATGAGCTGTCAAATTTGACATTTTGAACTCTCATCAAAGACCAGTTGGCATTGACACATGTTGATATGTGTTATCAATAATGTCGATATTTTAATATAAATATATGTTGAAAAAGTAAGATTGTTTTTTTTTTTTTACTTTTTGTTAGACACAGTGGAGAATAAAATGCAATAAAATACTCATATGTTTTATAAAATATGTAAGAGCCTAAATACAAATTCAAACAAATTATACGACACTATAAAAGGAAAATAAGTTATATCTATTCCACGCCGGAGCGAAGCGAGGGTAAGTCGCTAGTCTGAAATAAAATAAACGTTCCTTGACTGTCTCGTCGGATTAATAGTAGTGTAAAAAGCTATTGAAGTAGTGTATAAGATTCAGTTGTTCTGCTGAGAAATACTCGGTAATAATAGTTTAGGAAACTGTGTACCATTTGAGAGGTTTCAAATATTGTACTTATAGTGTTTTTCACATTGTTCAACACTAGAAGAAACTAAAACTATAAGAACTATATTATTAAAATCTCTTTCTAAAATTATTATTTTAAAAATAAAAAGATAAGGGCATATAAAACTACATGAACGTAATGAAAAATAACACCATATAAATATTTAAATTGAGATATATATTTGTCTTTTTATATACTTTTAACGTTGATTATTATTTGAAGAATATACGTGAGTGGTTTTTGTGATATGGTATCTTTTTAGCTACGGGCATTTGTTACATACAAAAATTGTCTCTTATTTGTCATAGAAATACAATAAAATACAAACCAAGTTATACTACTAATGAAAAGAGTATTGTAGATGAATAAACAATATATAAAGTTATTTTTTTTCGTAATACATATATTGCATAATGTATTAAAATACAGAAATTATTTATTATTAGCTTGCGTTCCAAAACTTGAAATCTTGTATTTATTAGATTTTTATAATAATAATTTTATTTATGTCGTATTTTTATAAAAATAGCACTTTATTTAATGATTTTGAATCTAATTTGTCCAAAAAATTACATTATTTTATCGCACCTATTTTGATTTCTTAAATACTTAGTTTTTTATTGTTATAAACGAATATAAAAATTGTTATTGTGTTTATGTGTGCTTAGCCGTTCATAAAAATAATCGATAGTTTTTACACATTTACTTTACATTTACATGGGTGCATCACTACGAATCTAAATATTATTAGTTAATTATTTTAGTCAACTTCACATGTTTTAATGTTTAGTTTTTTGAATGAAAAGTGTTAAGTTTTCATACATGTGATAATGCTTAGCTTGTTCTTTTATAATTGAAGCTAAATTTATATACAGAAACGTTATTTACAATGCAACACGAGCGTCTGTAAAAAATAACCTCAATTTTTCTCTCTTATAAGAAATCCATCAAAATTTTAAATACAGTGGCTTATTTTCAAGATTTATTGGTGCACGTTTTTAAAGTAAGGACTATTTTGTATCTTAGTATTATTTTTATTAAGAATCCACACATTAAAACTCGGATGTTTGTTTTGAAAATTGCGCGAAGAGCTGCGCAAATACAACGAACGAACCGCGCGTGCTATAAAGTTTTGAATTTGATTGTAACTAACAACTAATATAAATAAATCAAAGAATGGTTTTGTGCGATTACATGTATAATTATAAAATAGTGTTCCAAATTTAGTGTAAATATAGACCGCGGTATTGTCAGAAATCAATACAATACAACTAGTAAATATTTAGCTAACACTCATATATTGTTAGCTTATTTATAATTCATTAATAGTTAAAAGTGTATTTTACATATTGACATAAATGCTCAGATTATTTAAAAACCCAAAACACAAAAACATTTTAAATCGGTGCTATATAATTTGAATTACGAGTGTTTTTTTATGTAATGGTTGTATTGGGGAAAAATGACGCGCGGGATCGGTGTTTAACGGGTGTTGCTTGTCAAAAAACGCGGGGTTCTAGTGGTTAAATGTCCACATAATTTTATTTTATAATAATTATATTGAAACCAGTCGTTAATCTTTAAAAGGAATTGTACATATATTATTAATTATATAATAAAATAAGAAACTATAAAATTAATAAAACAAATACTACATCATTCAAACGGACATTTGCAATCCAAATTAAAAGAAAATATCGTTTCTTCTATTTAATAAATAAAGCAACTGGAATATTTTTAGAAATATTTTTGCTCTTAAATGAATTATGCCAATATGTAATTATTAAAATGCTTACTAGAAAAAAATTGATAATATTCCATTATAAGATTTAAAGCCTGGCAAGGCACCATCCATCTTTCAATGCGTTTTTTCAGTTTTACGATCTGCTTTTAGTATTTATATCCAGAATTCCTAAAATAAAAGTTGACTTTTATTAAATACAACAATATATGTGTTTTTAATTACACATTATTCGACAACAAACCAGGTTTAGAGGTACTACCTTGTGTATGTTTAAGATCAATCTTTGGTTTTTTCGTGACTCATAGGCTTGCATTTATTTATCAATTTGTGAACTATTCGTTTTAAGATGTCGTCAGGAAGACCGATTAAATGTGTAGTGGTGGGTGACGGAACCGTAGGAAAGACATGCATGTTAATATCATATACTACAGACAGTTTTCCAGGAGAATATGTTCCCACAGTGTAAGTAGACGGTCGTACTAGATTTTCCTACAATGATTATGTTTAAGATTATGGTTAACGATTAACTGTTTTGAGTGAATAGCTGTAACATAAATTAAAGTAATAAACTCTTTTCGTAGATTTGATAACTATTCAGCACCAATGGTTGTGGATGGAGTAGCCGTGTCTTTGGGACTTTGGGATACAGCTGGACAAGAAGACTATGATAGACTAAGACCTCTAAGTTATCCACAAACAGATGTTTTCCTTATATGTTTTAGTGTGACAAGGTAGGTAAATGTTAAATTATAATAATATTTGTTTACTAACAGATTATATAAATAAAAAATTTACTTTATTTAAAAATTAACATTTTATTTAAAATTTATTTTATGTTTACAGTCCTTCTTCATATGAGAATGTTACATCAAAATGGTATCCTGAAATCAAACATCACTGCCCTGATGCACCTATTATATTGGTTGGTAAGTAATAATTCAAAATTATTTATAATTATTATATTTTTAAATATAACAGTTTTTGATTGTCATACTTGTATAGTATAAATACTATAATTGATTTATGATTTTAGGTACAAAAATAGATTTAAGAGATGATAGAGAGACATTAAGTTTGCTCTCTGAGCAAGGCATGTCTCCGTTAAAACGAGAACAGGGTCAAAAATTGGCCAACAAAATAAGAGCTGTTAAATATATGGAATGCTCTGCTTTGACACAGCGTGGGCTAAAACAGGTTAGTCAAGTTTAAATCATAAATGCATTACTCATCACATTTCTTAACATCATAAGTTTTTATTTACAATTTACACTATGTTCTGCTTATAAAAAAAAATATACCTACTCAAAATATAATTATTAGATTTACTACTTTTATATTATATTGATGTTTTACTGTCTCAAAAGTTGATATTTTAAATTCTTGTCTAGTACATAAAATAAAGAATTGGAAACTTTATGTACCTAAAGCTTAAATCAGCAACTTTTGGATATTTATAGAATGTATCTGACTTATACCAGATTAATACAAATTATGTATTACTGCATTAATTGATTAGTTGAACTACTTGTTAAATTAAAGTATATTTGTAATTTTCTTTCTTCTTAAATATACTGCAACAAATTACTGACACTTATAAAGATTGGTTTCTGTCATACTCAGATTTTAAAGGATTTATAGACTTAATTTTGGTTTTTGTTAAGTATATTTTTGCTATGAAATAAGATTCAAAACCTGTTCCTTTTTTTTTGCAAATTCTCAGCAAAGTTATATTGCTCCTATGCAATTTAAATCTGTATTTGTACTTCTAACAACTCTCCATTTCATATATTCCATAATAATATTGATGGGTTTTCTAGGATTAGCCCAAAATTAGAAATTATTTATTCAAAATAAATATATTATATTCAGTAGAGTCAGACGCAATATGGTTTGATAAACAGACGGACTGTTGACAAGATAACTATAAGAGTTCAATTTTTTTACATATAGGGTACTAAAGCCTAAAAGTACTTTTATCATTGTGTATTTGTTATATAAATGATTATAATCTATTGCAGGTATTTGATGAAGCTGTGCGTGCAGTATTAAGACCTGAACCCCAAAAGAGACATCAAAGGAAATGTTTAATCATGTAAATGTGATGTAAATGTCATGACAATAGTATGATAAAATCACTTAATGCTAATCTCAATATGACAGTAATAATATGTTTCTCAACCAATAATATTTATTAATTTTGAAACAAATGATTATGTGATTGATTCATATTTTTTTTACTCAGTGCCATACAATAATTACATATAAAATGCTATGAATCTAAAATTTAAACAGATATATTTATCTGTATAACTACAAATGTGAATATTTTATAACATAAAAAAATCATTTCAGAAATCTATAACCTGAATCTTTTTCTCGCTATTAGGATTTTAATTAAACTAATGTTAAAATGCATTAAATTCCAAGAACATAATATAATATTATTATGACATTCGTTTGAAATGAGATAAGTACTTATTGAAATATCAAAAAAAAAATGTTAAGCTTAAAATCACATTCTTCACATAATATAGTTTACTTTATATATATATTTTTAAAGATACCAGTTAACTCAATTTCTTATGTGAAATTTACTTTATAATTTGTTTATGTTTGTGCTTTATAAGCAATTTGAAATACCAAAGATATATGAATAGATGTAAGTTCAGTATTTTGTAGTTTTTGTTATAGACACAACAGATATGGTTGGAAACAAATTGTTACTGTTAACAAAGTTAGAGAAACGATAATATTATTTTTTATAATATTATGCGAATGACCTCAATAATTTTGAACTTTCTAAATATATTCTTATGCAACAAGTGAATAAGGACTGACAATTAGTTATGATGCTTGTTACATTAACATACTCGATAGTAATCTCTTAGTTGCGATAAAAAAAATTTTTAACAGGCATTTATATATAAACGAAATACAATCTAGGGAATAATAATAATTTAGGCACATGTTTAGTAGACCTAAGCTAGAAACTACTAACGAAAAAAATAATTATTATACTGCTATATACATATTTGCCATAAGAATGAATGTTTATTCTGAGGGTTATTACATCACAAAATAGGGTAAAATTTTGGAAAATGTGTGCTGTCAAAGCTCGAATAAAAATTCTCTTAGTTTATAAATATTTTTGGTGTTTTCTTATATTTGAATGTGTTTGTAATTTTATTAAGAATTTATTGAGGTATCTAGTTTTTTTACTGTCGTTACACATTACGAAATTGAAAATGTGTTTAGTCGTTTTTAGGTGAAATATTTTTGTATGTGAAACTCATAGCTTAGGATGACAAGGCATTTAGTGTGATTATACCGCAGCGATATTACTCATGGATATTTTAGACTGCTTTGAGTTACAGGAGACGCTTTGAAGTTAATGTGTATATAAACTTTAATTATTTATATTCTACGAACAAATGCGCAATTTACAAATAAAATCTTATTGTAATATGTACTGCACTTTATAAATTATTGAATTATAATGTCTTCTTTTATTTACCCAAATATAAGGCCCCTGTAGGTATCCATAAACGTTCCTACCGTAGTAACTAGCAAATCAAAGATACCTAATTATATTATTGTTATTGTGTACCATGTATGTACAAACATTACTTATATTTTGGTCTAAAAGTAAAGAAATTCTTTAAAATAATACCCACAATAAAATATAAGCTTGATAATAAACAACTAAATGTGAATACATATTAATTTATTTCAATAACACATTGTCATTAAAACATCATAGCCATACATTTTCGATTAAAATATTTTATGGTTGATTATATTCCAATTCACATAAAACATGCAATTTTCACATTTAAATGATGACAAAGACATTCTATTTTCAAATAACAATTAATGCCAATTTTAAATTCTAACATTTAGATAAACATTTATAAGGAAAATATATATGGAGGAGTAGACTGTAACATTAACTTATTATATTGTCATTTTATAAAATACAAACAAAATTATTATTAAACCAATAGTTTTCATAATTACTTTCAGACAAAACTGACTCAAAGATTTTGGCATCCTTTAAATTTTATTACCCTATATTTTTGGGAAATTAGCAATATACAGATAGGCTTCTAATGTTTAAAAAACGTACACCTAGACAATGATAGTAATGAAAATATTTTATCAAGTTATACCTATTTTATAATAGTCTTTAGGTAAGTATATATCATATTTTAAAACTTGCCATTTTACATACCTAGTAACTAAAAGCACATTATTTCCCTCAATATTATGTAAAATGAAACCTGACATGAATAATGGATACCGAAATCATATAGAACTTCATACGGCACCTTAATATTTTTAGTCATACAACTTTTTATAGGACAATTGTTATTATATGTAAAATATTATGACGAATTTGTCATGTAGACTAAAATTGATAATAGGCACCATCACTAAGTGATCAAAATGACTAGCCTTCTTATATCAACTTTCATCATGTACACAATATCGATATACAATACTTTAGACTAAATATTGACTTAAATAAAGAACTTAGGTTTATGATAATAGCTTAACATAATTATAACAGGAAAAAATGACAAAGAGCAATTTTTAAATGCAACATTTTAGGACAACATTGATAAATAACATAGATCCTTATAATCTAAACATCTATTCTACATATAACAATTATTATAAATAGAATTATACAGCTCTTCAAACTTTAAAGTCTTTGAAGAAAATAATGTTTTATTGTTTATTGTAACTATGTTAAAATTTTAAACAGATACTTCAAATTTATTGAATTTCACACAAAAATATGTAGGTGAATACTACTATGAAATTGAATACTGACCAACACTGAGATCGATAGAAAGAAAAATATTAAACAATATTTTTTTATATCATATTTTACAATATAAATTAAAATAGAACTTTGAACACAGAAAACCTTCCTTTTCTAAATAGCAAGGGATATTTTAAATTTTTTAATGCACTCTGCTGAAGAGGGTTTAAAATTATGTAGTTGAAAAGTATTTTATTAAATGTTTTTGTATTAATATAAAATTGTAAAGAATGTTATAACACTCTATACACAGTATTAAAAAGCATTAGATCCATAATTTATACAAATATAGTATAACAAGCTTATCAGAGTCATATGAAAATACATCAAGCATACTATGTATCCTTTACCTTATTTGGCCTCATAAATTACAAATTAGCTGATCCAGCTCAGCTATCATGAAAATTTTATATACAAAACTTTCCAATAATAACTTCTTATGTCGTAGTAACAACTACACCGAGAAATGACCAGTAAATCTATTAGATCTAGATCTAAGATGCATTACATGTTAAAAGTTCACAAAATAAGAATGATTAACCTACAACTTGTGCATATACATTATATACAGCAAATATTACAGTAATTGTAAAATTTATTATCTTAATATTTTCTTTACACCCATAAATTTTACATTCAGTACTCTATATTATATTTTGGTTACATCAACATTGAGATAAGAAGATAAATTATGCTTTATTTCCCATACAAGATGAAAGATTTGTTACAAGTGATGATTGTTAAACAGAAGTGCTTCTTTTTTCTCATTATTGTTTATTTGATAAATAGTTTCAAAAATTATCACTACCTGATAATCCAGGTTGATAATCTTCAACCTCATATCACATAGCTCTATAGGGACCTTGTGATTTAAGGTACTGGATTACCAGAGACGGCCCTGAAGATACAACCTCAGGAGGCAATGCTGTCAGAGGACAATTTTCAATGCTCATAATTTGTAAGCTAACACAAAGAGCTAACTCAAAAGGCAAATTACATAAGTTTGGGTTATCATTGAGATACAAGGCTTCTAAGTTCTCAAGTGTTCCTATTTCTTCTGGTAAATATTGCAAATTATTTTCTCCTACACTTAATGTTTGAAGGTTAATCAAATGACCAATAGAGCGCGGCAGAGATATTAACTGGTTAGACTGCACAATCAACTTCTTTAATTCTTGTAGAAATCCTATTTCATTAGGGAGAACTTCTATTTTATTCTCTTCCAAATCCAGTTGTCTTAGTTTTCTTAAATTTCCAATACTGGGTGGGATGCGCTTTAGAAGATTATTTGACAAAATCAGTACCTCCAAATTTACCAGACTTTGGATGTCATCAGGTAGTTTTACCAGTTGATTGGTTCCCAAGTTAAGTTCTACCATATTAACCCAAGTTCCAATGTCCAGTGGTAATGATGATAGTAAATTTTCTTTCATATTCAATTTTGTTAAATTTCTTGCCCTAGAAAATATTCCATATGGTATTTTATCTATCTGATTATGCTCAAGATTTATAGAAGAAACACTAGTAAATTGAGCAGGACCACCACTTGGATAACTCATAAAAGAATTACGAGACAAAGTTAGACTGGTCAGCTCTGTTAAGTTACAGAGTAAACCATCTGGCAACTGTGATATTGAATTCCCTTCTACATTAAATTCATCCATGTGCTTACAGTTACTCAAAGAGGCTGGTATGGCATTCAACCTATTATAACGAAGACCTATACGATTTATAGCTTGTAAATTTCCAATTGTCTCAGGTATATCCAGTAATTCATTGTGCTGCAGGTCCAATGTTGACAGATTCACACAGTTGCCAATTTCTTGTGGTAAATGCTCCAAATGATTATGAGAAATGTCAAAAGTCACTAAATTCACCAGTTTTCCAATTCCAGAAGACAATTCTTTAATTTTATTTTCTCTTAAGCTTAACATTGTTAAGTTAGTAAGATTAGCTATGCCATCTCCAACTACTCTGATTCTATTAAATCGTAAAAATAAAGTAGTCAGTGATGTCAATCTATAGACTACTTCAGGTATGTCACTTAATTTATTATGCCGCAAGTCTAATACTTTAAGACATTTTAAATTTGCAAGAGAATCAGGCAAGCTTGTTAGAGAATTTTCATTTAAAGCTAATGTCTGTAAATTAGTTAAGCAACCAAATTCTGCAGGAAGAGCTACCAACTTATTTCCATATAAATAAAATTCCACTAAATGAGTAAGATCTCTTACATTAGGTGGCAGAGATGTAATAGAGGATTTGCTTAAATCCAACCTTTTCACACCTTCATCTCGACATCTCATAAATTCTTTAATAACATCAAGGTCTGCTTGAATTGGTTTATTTTTTCTAGCTGTGGGTTTTGGCTTATTTGATTCTGGATGTTTAACTGTAACTACTTTTGGCCGTGCTCCTTCTGTATTCGTCAAAGACGCAGCTGATAGCTTTTTTTCCCTCATTCCGTGATATTTTTCTCTCGGACTAACTGTGCCAATAGTGTCCAACGCTTCGGAATTTTCTCTAGATGAATTATCGAGATTCATTCCGCAATCGGCACAGTATCTGATCGCGAGACAAATTTTTAAGGATGTATGTTAAGTTTATTAATAGAACAACATTCCCGATTTTTTATCACGACATAAGCAAGAAAAACAATCAATACCTATTTTCAGAGATGGTATGCTTCACGAAATGACAATTTTTTAACAAAGAAAACTTCACTATAAAAATGTCTTATAATTACTCATGAGTATACAGTTATTGTTTTCCAATAGTCACTAATATTTATTTAAAATGCAATGGCAATTTAAATAGGCCTTTTAAGCTTTACGACGAAGACAAAGTACATAGGTATTTAATGATTTTACATCGCAAAATCACAGAATATAAAATTCTATAGATATTAATTTACTATATTTCTATGGAGGGTAGAGGTAAGGAGAACTATCTCTGTGATGAAAAAGTGTTTGTCTAAATGCCTTAAATTAGGGTGGCGCCACGGTAGCAAGTGGGTACATTTTAAAGAAAGCGCTAAAAGTATATATATATATATATATATATATATATATACACATACATCTATATATATATATATATATATACTAAAATACTAAAAGTCCACAAATATAAATTACTCTCTACGTTTATATCAGCACAGTTTTTTCAGCTATATTTACTACATTATTTTGGACTATGTAAATAGTTTCAATAACTACTCAAGATTTCTCCAAAGGAGGCCACACCTATTCAAGTATTGCATATTTACATTGTCGTCTGAGGTTAAGCAATTTATTATGATATCTCTTGTATACCTTTATTATGATATTATTTGTATATTTTTTGCTTCTATTGTGTTCGCATCTTACCTGTACAATGTACTTGGAAGTGCTTGGAAGTTTGACCAGAAAGAAAAATTATTGAGAAAAAGAGGCCCCATCCTGCTGTGGTCCTGACTGATTGATGGATTAACACACAGCTTAAGCTGCTAGTCGTAGAAACATGAAATGTGGAGGACGTATTTATTCCTAATCCTTAAACGATATAGGCATCCGATAAGAAAGAATTTTTGCAATCCATCCCGTAAGTGGATAAAAGAGAAAATTAAAGATTGTATGAAACTGTCATTCTTACTGTGAAATACACAGAAAGTGGTGTTTAACTTTAGGACAAAAATAAGAAATATATTTATTTCCTTTTTTTGTTTGAAGTTCATCCATTAAAGGGTAAAAGGATGCAATAAAGTTTATGATCACAATTACTTAAAACTTGGTATTAATGCTCTTCAATACAATTAAATAAATACGTGTTTTATCATTTTCTGAAATTCAGTCCTTTAAGGGGGTAAAATGGGGGATGAAAGTTTGTATGAGACTCTTTAATATGTAAAAAAGTACAAAAATAAAAATATTCATCTGTAGACCATTAAAGAGTTTTAAAATCACATTCTTTAAAAAGATGTCCACATAGCCTTAAATTTTCAGACTTTTGGAATCAAATGATATCCATTTTCTTTGCATCCCGGCATTGCACAATTTGTCATTTTAGTTAAAATTTAAATACAATGACAAAAATCCATTCACGCTATAGAGTTTTAAAATATACTGAGGGCTATAGCGATCGCGATATCTGGCTGGAGAAAAAGGCACATATTTTCCCCGTTTAGACAATACATTCTTTTCTACACATTCTAACACATCTAAATCTTTTTACAAACTAAATTCTAATTTAGCGGCTGTCAATACATTTGTGCTCTAGTTAGAGTGACTATCTTAATGCCTTTACACTTGTCTAAATTTTCGAGGTCATACAGTATTTTGAACTTAGCGAGGTGTAAGAGCCACAAAAAATAATGCCTAAAATTTTCCATTTTTGTCTGAAGGTTGCATGCTGAATTTAGACAACTATTAATATGCCACCATAATATAAGTCTAATATCAATGGTTGGCTTGTTTCCTCTGTTTAGCTTATGATTTCATCTATGGTCCTTCACTGTTGTCCACAGCCCCGGCCGAGCTCCATACAAGCGCATATTCATAAAACCGAAGGCGAATAAGACGAAGCGGGGGCCGGGGGGGTCAAGATAGTCAAAGAAAGATTTTTCCCGATTTAACCATTATAAATTAAAAATAGCTACATGGGATATGTTAATTAATATCTTATTATATTATAAAATATACTTAAGTTAAATATGCTTAAAATGTTTTTTTTTATAAATCATATGTGCTATATATTGATTTATATAATTATATTCTAAATGATTTTAACTATTATCGAATATCTTATATTTTAATTATATTTCATATCAAACATAAAATATCTATTAACATAGGTTTTTATGTTATAAAAATTGATTTATATTTTAGAGCTGTGTCATGAATTTGTCTTAATATGGGGACAGTTATGGCATAAATGGCAAGTCAAAATATGCTGTCACTTTCACGGCTATTGTATTTCTTTTGAGTCGCCACGCATCTCTTTCTAAGGGTATGACGTCATATGCGAATCTGGGAGAATTTAGTTCGTAGTGATGTAAAAATCGGTATTCATTACGATTAAGTAGGGATGTATTTTATCGTAATGTTATCGGTATTCAACAACTGTTATCGGTTTTATAGTAAGGTTTTCATTTTTATGATATTAATTATAATTAGAAATAAAATACAAAGATAGGTTTCTAGTTTTTTTATTTTACTATTTTAATGCTACCACTAGTTCGGAAAAATGCCTCAGACCTGAGAAGAATTAGCAAGGACCGAGGTTCTTGACGGGATAACCTTTTTTTTCTTAACATTTATAATACATTGTTATTACAATAAAAGGATATTTTTAAAGAATTTTATCAATTGAATACAAAATACAAAAGATAATAACAATGAGGCAAAGACTAATACAACGATTTGGTATAAAATATTACAATGCAATAAAATTAGAAGTAACATAGAACAATAGTTTTTGTTAATAACAATATCATATTAAGCGAGTAGTAGGTTTAATTGTAGGTATAAATTAAAATCTAGCTTTTGTTTGAAGTTTTAGCTCTAGAACCACCTTCATCTTCAGTTTATAAAATGCAAAGATTCGAGATTAGCACATTTGAAAAAACAAACATTTTAATCTTATATAAATTAAAAAAAAAAATGCAAATTTCAGTAAAAAATGAATAATAAAATTATTTTTTTTAAAAGCTTAAGAAATTTAAAATCAATATGTACATAGTAATAGTAAAAATTTGGTGTAAAAAGAAATAACAGCTAAACATACTCTAAAATAAAATTTCTAAATGCATAGTTCTATCAAATGTAACAATTATAATTAATATATTAAAATTATATACTGCTATAGTAGTATATTTTAAGAAATTATAATATTATTTCACAGATATCAATTGAAATATTCATACATTATTTTTATACTTAATAGAAACATAATGAAAATGGAAAATTCCAAGTGATTATCTTTTAAATAACCAAGAAATGAAACAAACAAGAGTAATAAATATTAAAAGTTAATTAATGAAAAAATATTGGAAAATCATTCACTACTCTGAAGACTAGATGAGTTCAACCATAGCTAGGCCCTTCTGAAACTTTCATATTAAGCAAATTTTCTATTTCCAGACCCTTTTTTCTCGAATCCACTTTATGCATTCTTCAATTAAAATTTATACACCTGTGTCTAACTTTTATACATATCATAAATAATGAGAATGCTCTTAAAAATATTTCTCTATGACCTACACAAGTGTACCAAGAGGTATCAAGATTTTCAAATGCTTTTATTAAATCGGGAAATATGTAAACTTTACAAATCTTTGGTAATTGTCTTTTAATTATGTAAATTGCATACCATACTAGAGATGACAGATTCTTAGAAGGATCATGTATTTTATTATTAATGAATAAAATAATCTCAGCTGTGAATAAGCCATTCTCAATATTTACATTTAATGTATTACAATAATTGTGTTCTTCCTGGAAACTAAAAGCCTTTATTAGGAGACTTATAGATGTTGAAACACTTCAACTGCTGAAACACCTGCGCAGCATATACTTCACCTGTAAATATATTATTATAATAAATTAAAGTAATACAACAAATAGTCACCATAACTATATAGTATATGAACTAGTGACTACTGTAGATGAATAGTAGCTTATTTAAATATAGTAATAGTTTAGTATTATTAGGGTCTAGGTAGATAAGCCAATTAGGCCCTTAAATAGCTGTTAACATTATACAATAGATAGGCTATAGAGTTGATAAATTGTTTTTAATGGACTGAGCATTACATGGATAAGTGCATTCAAACAATAAACAAACTATTCAATTTTACATATTAGAATAGAATAGTATAATAATATCAATAGCTTCAAGAAGTTTCCTTCTTAAAAACAATTTCATATTAAAGATAATATCCAAGATCTAAAGTAATATAATAATATGTTAATTTACTAAACTTAACAATATAGTTACCTTCATCTTAACAAAAGAGTTTGGATAAATATGCCTGTCAGTAAGTTTGTTAGCCTTGCAGCACCTTTATGGTCATCTACTTTATACAACATATAAACATAATCCCATTGAGCATGCTGACTGCCAAGGAGCAAATTCTTTTTCTGAAAATTATTACTGAAACATTTCAGTAAATGAGGTACATCATACTTATGATAGGTTTTGTTCCCACTTCCCATTAACTTCATAATGGATAGCACTTGATGCATCATTGGCACTACAAAGTATATTTACCTTAGTATCAGAAATTAATGAATTTATTGCAGCTACATTGGCAGAAACCTGGTCAGATAGAGTTACTCTAGAAATAAACCGTTTATAAGAATTTCTATAAGTATACGTTATAAAATTGAAGTGCATCTTTATAAGGCATTCTATGGCATGAAAAACCTTCTGTTCCTTCCTGACAATTCGGAATTACAATGCTTTCCCATGATTACACAACATTAATAAAAAACCAAAAAAAGGAAGAGAAACACTAATAAAGAAATAACAAATTTTGTATCCAAGCACAAATCTTAACTATATCACTGATCTACATTAATCAGCACTTATCCACATTAATTAATACTAATCTACAAATTGATAAAATGTAAATTTTAAGTGTAAAATAATATAAAAAACGGCAAGCCCTCACACCCTAGTCCCCAGGGGCGAGTAATAACGACGGTTAAAACTTGAATATTTCAAAAATGACAAAATATTGCAGTGACGTCACAGTAGTGACGTATGTAACTGCGACAGAAATAAGTTGTTGTCCCACTCGTTGTCGCCAAATGTAGAGATAGCATGCTAGTTACCAAGCAAATGAAAGGGATAGATAGATGCACCAAGAGCTCGTATGGAACTAATTCATCTATTTTATTTGTCATCCATGGTTGTCCATTATTATAGTCTTCATAATCTGTAAATACCAGATTTATTGAAATTTGAAGTTTGTGACTTGTGTGGTTTGTGTTAGGGATGTTCATGTAAAAAAATATCGATATTTTTTCGATATAAAATATCGTATTGTTGTATCGATACTTTGCGATATATCGTATAAATATATCGATATTTTCGATATATCGTAAGTCGTAAGTTGTTTGTATTTAACTAGTCTGTAATATTAAATATTAGATAGGGATCAGGTTAATATGAGTAAAAACAGTTAGTGAAGAAACAAAACCTTTTATTTATTTATTAATCCCAATACTTTTTCTCTAGACCTTGCAAAAACAACATTTTATTAACTCTTTTGGCTTTTGGCGGTTTGTTTCTCTCCCGAGTTAAAATAGCCGTTTTTATATGTATATCGTTATACACACTAACTGTATTTAAATTTCATAAACTGTTTTACACAAAACAGACAACTTTTATTTATTTTTTATAGGTTACTTTTTAATTTGTACTGAGAAGTGAGAACGATGAACGAAGCGGTAGTTGGAACTCGGATTTCGGAAGCCAGTGAGACTCTCAAGGCACAGACATACTACGAGCTACGACTACAGTCACAGATTATAAAAATTTTACTACTACTAGTCTGACTTCACGGAGAGTAGAAGAATAGTTTTCGATTTTCGTGTCTTTGCGTTCCGTTATTGCGAAGGCTAGTTTTTCAATAATTCGAGGTTTTATGTTTTAGTTTTACTCAAGTTGCCATCCATAACTAAAGGAATCAATATAAAAAAATAGAAATGGAATATGCTTTTAATTTCTCACGATATTTGATATATCGGATGAAATATATCGATATATAATATCGATACTAGATGATTCGATCATATCGTGTTGAAGCGATATATCGCGTACATATTCGATATTTTATGAAATATCGATATATATCGTGCACTCCTGTCACCTAGTTAGTGTTGTGACTTGTGTTGTGTTTCAGAAATCAGACCTCTCAACTCAGATCATTTATATATGTAGCAATATACTCTATGACTCAGATTTCAGGTTGTCAAAACTAAAAATTAAATACATATTAAACTTTCTGCTGTTGCTTCAGAAATCAAAAGTGTTAAGTTTTATAATTTAATTACATATCACCTTTAGAACTAATACTAGCAAAATGGATAAAAGTAAAGAAAAAGAAGAGCAGAGTATCATGGACAAATCCATGAGATCTGTATTCGGTAACAGCATAATATTTTACTTGATTGTTTCTTTATTATTTAAAGCCGTATAATCTAATAGTTTTTATTTTTAGTTGGAAATATACCATATGAAGCTACGGAAGAGAAATTAAAGGACATTTTTAGCGAAGTTGGGCCTGTTTTGTCGTTTAAACTAGTATTTGACCGGGAGACAGGGAAACCAAAAGGTTATGGTTTCTGTGAATACAAAGACCAAGAAACCGCCCTCAGTGCTATGAGAAATCTCAATGGCTATGAAATCGGTGGCCGTTCACTTAGAGTTGACAATGCTTGTACAGAAAAATCTAGGATGGAAATGCAGGCATTGATGCAAGGTCCTCAGGTAAATGTGTTGTTTTTAATTATGCATTTATGGAAGACTTCCTAACAAAATTCTACTCGGCATTTAATAACCCTTTGAACATACTTAAGTAGGAATGTCCAGGCCAGTCATGTTCTTTTTACTAATAATTTCATTGTATAAATAAAAAACTAGAACATAATCTATGTATATAAAAATAAATCGATATTTGCCTCGGTCACACCATCACGCGTGAACGGCTGGACCTATTTAACTATTTTTTTTTGTTGTGTTTGTTATTGTCAGGAGAAGGTTCTTATGAAAGAAAAAAAATTAAAAAATTGAGAAGAAAATTATTACATTGAATTCTTAACAACCATAATCAAATTTATATGGCTCACACGGTAATAACTATTTATATATATTTAAAACATACCTAGCGACGAACCCGAGCTAGTAAACTATATTATACAATTGCATATAATTTTATAAATAAATTTCTCAGATAGAAAATCCCTATGGAGATCCTGTAGAACCTGAAAAAGCTCCAGAAGCTATAAGTAAAGCTGTAGCTACATTACCACCAGAGCAAATGTTTGAGCTTATGAAGCAGATGAAACTTTGTATTCAGGTAAATGTATCATCATTTTTACATTTACTAATTATTAGTTTGTTTTACCTGTTTTTAGCTATCAACATAAATTGTAAAACCATTATAAAAATAATACTGATTTGCCTGCGGCTTTGCCCCAAATCCCAATAGTTGATTCATGTATAACTAAAATAACTCACCACTCAATTTATCTACCTGCCAAATTTTAAGCTTCATAGGTCAAGTACTTTTTGAGATTTCAAGTTTTATCGATGAGATAGCTTTTTGCCTCAACTATATATGTATATATTAATTAAGAATTATGGAGCATATATATTTATCACTACAGAATGTTTGTCTCACTAATGGAAGTATTCTACCTATATAGTAATATTTAATTAAATCATAAGTGTAATCAAATTGTAATTTAACAGATTATTCTTTAACCTTTTCAAAGTAAATATGTGTTGTTCTTCAAAGTAAATGTATGTACAATTATATATATAAGAATGTAGCTTATTACTGTTGAATTTTATTTTAGAATAACCCAACTGAAGCTAGGAACATGCTACTTCAGAATCCACAGTTGGCATATGCACTTTTGCAAGCTCAAGTTATAATGAGAATTGTTGATCCGGCTACAGCAGTTGTAAGTACTATATTAGGTATATAGTAAAAAGTTTTCCAGTAGCTTAATATGTTTTATCTTATTTTAAAGGTTTTTCTTAATCCTTAAGGAGTTGACATGTTCTAAAAATACATATTATATACTAACAACTTACCCTTGTTTTACTTGGGTGTGTCCTCAGGTGCTTAACAATAGCCTATTTTACTCCAGGTCATAGTTTATCTATGTACTAAATTCTATCCAAATTCATTCAACTGTTCAGTGTAAAGAAATTACAATTATATGCACATATATATAAAATTTCACATTAATGTAAATAAATAAATATGTTGGAATGTTAACACACAGCATCATCTAGTTCCATGGTGAGCTACGAGGCCTGTGTTATGGATACAAGATAGTTCATACACTACACATAATATATAACTTTAAATACTTACATACATATTATAAATATAAAGACCCATGACTGGAGTACAAACATTCATGCTCATCACACAAATGAATGCCCTCAGCAGGAAGCGAACCTGCTACCGCTGGTACAGCAAGGGTCACTACAAACTGAGCCAAAAAACAACAAAAACTTATGTTCATTTTTTGTTCCTGTCAGAGTATGCTGCACCCTAGTAACCCAGTCCCACCAGTTTTACAACCTGGAGACAAGCCACAATCTAATACTTATATACCAACCAGTCAACAACAAGGTAATTTTTTATTATTATATGTTCAAAGCATTTATATTTATTGTATAGGATACTTGGTACATTTTGTTAAGGTTAAAAAGCAAATTTTTTTATCATCTGCTTTGTTGTACACTATATTTCAGTTAATATTTTTATTACAGCACAACCACCACCACTAATGAACAATCCACCACCGCCTCCCCCACAGAACCAATATGTTCGTAAGTATTTAGAAGTGGAAAAAATTATTCATAAATAGTTCAATTATTGTATATTTGGAGAATTGACAAAATCTCATATTGCAAGCACAGTGTAAAATACAGATCGCCCATTGATTTGTAAAAAATAACACTAAAAAATACCGTTTTTCATGGCGAAAGGTTGATAAGTTAAATTATTGTAGTGTGGCAAGTTATTGTTACGTCATCTGTCAACCCTAAAGTCGTTTCCCAATTGTCATATAAAAGTACGTATGATAGTCGGGTGCGCATCGCCCTAATATTACTTTTAGAAGCCCCTATTTAAACACCTTCGTTAGATGACTGAGGTGCGTTACATAAGGACAGTTTTAGCCATTTATGACATACCGAGTCCGCTACCACGCACTTGGCCAGCGTGGTGAACTATGGCCTGATTCCCCTCGTACGAAGTACTCGTCGAAGGTAGGACCGTGCCCAGCAGGGGGACGTTAAAAAGGGCTGAATTGTTGTTATCTATAATAATATTATAAAGAGGTAAAATTTTGTGAGATTGTGAGTTTGTGGATCTCTGAGATTGTGAGTCTGTGGATCTACTGAACCGTTTTAGATGAAATTTGGTAAGAAGATAGTTTGAGAACCGTGGGAAGGACATAGGATAGGTACTTCAATTTTTTTTCAATCAATTTTTATCCCAGAAACTTTTATTGGGAATCAAGCTATTATATATAAATATGTTGTCCCCAGCCGCCCGTCCGTCCATGCCGATGCAGAACATGAGTATGGGCATGGACGTGGACCTGCGCAACGCGCGCCCGCCGCTGCTCGACCAGGACATGCGCAGCCTGCCGCCGCCCGCGCCGCAACACCCGCCCCACCCGCCCGCGCATAACACTGACTCGTATGTATTGCTTTCTTTGCTTGTACCACTGATAACTATACTATAATAATAATTAATAACATATACTAGCAGTACCCGCGATTTCGCGATTTTTTTAGTAGTGTTCACACTACTAAAAAAACAAACCGTGTCACCTATCTACCGGGTCCAATTGTGTTTTCAAACCAACCAGGAGCCAATTGAAATATACACACGAAATTTCATCTAAATCAGTCCAGCCCCTTAGGAGGCGTAAGGTGACAAACACACATACAGAAGAATTATGTATATTAAGATTATATAACATGTGATAATGACTAGTGATGTAACGAAAATTCGCATATTTTTGACATTCGCATTAGGTAGAAACGATGCGAATGCTTGGCGAATGTATTTGACAAACAAAAAGGAAATTATATAAGGAATGAACGAAATAATGAAAACACAACTGTGCTAGGTATTGCTTTGACAAATGTAATACTAAATTAGAAATAATACTTTTTTTATCGTCGGGAAATGCATTTACGCATACCACCTGATGCGCCAGGTGGTGATGTGGGGTTCACCGGCTAGAAGAGCCGGTACTACCCACTAAAACCCGACATCCCTTCCCCCCGCCTTAGTGGGACGCCGCAGGATCGCTTGCGCATAACTACTACGGCGCCCCGGCGGCAGGTCTGCCTAAGCGTTAGGCAGACCACCAAACCAATGGGGCTGCTCCACAGTCAACTCTGCTACGCCAGAGAGGTACCCGGAGCAGCCCCATAACCAAACCTCCGCCCACCGAAGTGGGCCACCTCCAATCAGCTGCAGAGGACAGGGAGAGCGGCAACGAAACACCAACACTCCTTTTCCCCTGCAGCCCCACCGCGTCCGCCATCAAACGGTGGCGGCCCCGTCTAGGCCGCGGAAGGTAGGGAGAACGGCGCACCGAATAAGGCACTCCTCTCCCGCCGCGGCCTACCCCTTCGCCGGATGCGGGCCTGCGACCACAGTCCCGCAACCGGCACCCATCATCCGGCTGTGGGACCAAGCGGTCCCACCACTGGTGGCCGCAACGCCTTCGGCTCGAGGCCTAGACGAGCGGCTCCACCCAAGCCATTTGGTCCGCGCCGATATTTCTCCGGTACCACCCGCCGCCCTAAGCGGGTGGCATTCCCCTATCCGCCACCTGGGGACGCGCCCGGTAGGAGTTGGCTTCTCCCCCGGGAAATTACAAATAATACTAAACTAACCTCTCATCACAGCAAATCTTTTCGAACGAACTCTATGTGACTAACTTCGTGAATTCAACCTGTATCGGCTCGGCTATGTTCGGTTTAAACATGACCGACACGAAATGTCAAAACTGTCTGTTTGATATTTTGCGCTCGCTTTGTTTGAAAATCAATATTCGCTTTCGCGAATGTGAAAAATTGAACATTCGTTACATCACTAATAATGACCTCCAGACCGATTTTGGCCATCGTCAATCTCACAGACTAGCAATATGTGGAAATAATGTGTAATGCACAAGTATATGAACATCCTCTACTTGTGTCATTTTTAAACTCCGGTGCAAATAAAGCGAGAGGTAACACTGCTAGTGCATATCTATCCCATACTAAGAAATTGCATGATCCTAATTCTAGCTCGCTATTTAGGCAATTTTTTGTCTACATAAATCTTATACATTAAAATATGTAAAATACAAAATGAATTATAGTGGCTTTTGTAACAAAAAATGGAAACAGCGCCATCTATGCATATGATTAGACTTTACAAATGGTTTTCAATTTTCATAGTTATCGGTTGAATCGGTTGAACGGTATATAAGTTGATGAGCTTCGCCGCAGTTTAAAACAAAATAAACAAAATTCAAATCTTTGCCATTTAAAAATATATACATATATGGTTTATCAAAATTTTAAAGCAATCATTTCAAGTTTAGAGTTTCAAGAGGAGTGGTTTTTCACAATTTATATGTACATTTTTATTCTAATTGTTTATATTATAATATTTATGTACTTAATAGTAAATATTTATGCTAATTTCACATGAAATGTTTGCTATATAATTTAAAAATGACTAAATTGTAACATAATATGGCTGATAAATATTAAAATTTTTAAGACCAACTCAAACAACGGAGGTACATGAAAATATGTAAGTTTTACATGTGTGTAGTGTAACTGTACTTCACTCTATATGTTTAATATTTTTTATTTATTCTTCATGTAGTCTTTCTTATGTATGGTCATGTCACATTTTTAGATACATAATAACATCTTTTAGGCTTTTTTATACCCAAAGTAAGAATTTATCCTTAAAAGATTATTTGCCTGTTTGTTGTGGCCTGTTATCTTTTTAACCGACTTCCAAAAAGGAGGAGGTTCCCATTTAGTCAGAGTCTTTTTTTAATGTATGTTCACCAATTACTCGAAGATGCCTAAACCGATTTGGATATTTTTTGTTTCAAAGGGTATAGGTATCTATCTAATTAGGTATGTGATTAGATATGTATTCTTAATGAAAACCCCCCCTTAGTTATTTTTTACATTTTAGTGCCTGGAAGTTGGCTTTAATTTTTTTTCAAGTTTTTATATCTACTTGAATTACCTACAACGGGACAAAATAATTTTGTCGGCTTATTTTATAGATCAAATTTGAAAATTTAAAATAATAAAAATATATGGAGTGTCTTTTGTTTTGCTTGAAGTTTAGTAAAATATATTTTTACCAATGTTCAATGTTCAATTCTTATGTTATTATCAATACACATTGTACATATTATAAGTTTTTTTAATTATTTTATCACTAGTGTTTTTGGTTTCATTTCACCATCTAGTATATAATATTATTTTATTAATAATATTTATTTCAATCAGGTCGTACCCGCGCGATCCTCGCCTTGCAAATATGCAGAACTTTAACTCGGATCCGCGTGTGCGTCCTAACGATCCGCGCACTCAAGCTAAAATGCCGCAGCGTGAGTATTTAACATAATATTTTATTATACGCTAGCAAAAAGAAATACATCTTTCCTACGGGAACCCTATATTTTTCCGGGATAAAAAGTAACCTATGTGCTATTCCACATTATAATCTATCTCTGTGTCAAATTTCATCCAGATCTATTCAGCCGTTTAGGCGTGATTGAGTAACAAACATCCATTTATTCAAACTTTCCTATTTATAATATTATTTAAATCATATTATGTTTAAATTTTAGGGGGTCTTATAATGCTGTAATTTTTATTTATTTTTTATATTAATTAAAAATATTTGTAGCAAATGCGTGAAATATGTACATATTATTCTGCATTAAAATTGTATTTGTAATGGAATATTGAATATGGATGGAAAGTCATAATATATTTTTTTTCAATATATATTAACTACTAGCTGCTCACCCTCGCTTCGCTCGGGTTCGCCTCTAGGAAAACAAAAACAAATCTATCCCTCGGGAACCATACATTTTTCCGGGATAAAAAGTAGCCTATGTGTTATTCCAGACTATAGTCTATCTCTGTGCCAAATTTCATCTAGATCTGTTCAACAGTTCTGGCGTCAAAGAGTAACAAACATCTATACATCCATACTCACAAATTTTCACATTTATAATATTAGTATATTATAGAAGTATAAGTTTTTCATTATCTATTTGGTCCTATTTTATATAGAGCAAATGCCGCCTGGTATGCCGAGCATGGCGCAGGCGAGAACTATACAGGGCATACCATCAGGTGCCTCGGATCAAGAAAAGGTAACAAATACACTTATAATACATATTTTAATTTTTTGCCTAAATATATATTATTAATAAATAATACATTTATTTTTATTTTAACAGGCCGCGCTTATTATGCAAGTGCTGCAACTATCAGATGAACAAATCGCATTATTGCCGCCGGAACAACGAGCAAGTATTCTTATGCTCAAGGAACAAATTGCAAAGAGTACTCAACAGCGCTAATAAACTTTATAAGATTTATTTTGTAATAAGTATATGAAATAAGTAACATGTGACATACTCGTGTCTATGTATTTTAAAATAAATATTTCAACTGCTTTTTCCTGCTTTCTGTTTTAAAACACGTCTTCAATCATCTATACATATAATAAAAGTGTAACTGATCACTGTCTGTACATGGAAGGTATGTGAGAAAAACTATCATTGATTGATTGATTGATTGATTGATGTAGAACCGAAAACAATAATTTTTAGATTTTTTGTCTGTTTGTCGGTTTGTCTGTGCGTTTGTGCACGCTAACCGCAGAAACAGCTTAACTGATTTGAATGCGGTATTTACTATTATATTGTGGTAAGCATTTAGTATTTGTTTTATTTCAATCGGTTCATAAATAAAAAAGTAACATCAATTTAAAGAATCGCCTAGGGACGAATCCGAGCTGAACGAGGGTGAGTCGCTAGTTCTAAAATATATATACGGCCGAATTGAGAACTTCCTCCTTTTTGGAAGTCGGTAGAAAATGCAATAATTGTGTTCAAGTATACTACTTGTCACCAATAACAGTCGATTAATATATGCGTAGCATTTCTATATAGTTTGATATTATTATCAAGATTTTACCCCTCTTACGCGATAACATTAATCTGATAAATTAAAAAGCCTGAATAATAATATTAATATAATAAGTAATAGTTAAAGTATGAAATTTTAAACATATTTATTTAATCAAAATAATATACCATTATTATCTATATAATGCTGCCATCCGAAAATATTTTAAGATATGAATATCTAATAGGTAAATATGTATTTTACGTATCGAAATACATTAGTTTTGCTTTGCATCGGCTGGCACCGACTTCGAAAATATCTAATTAGGTATTTATTCTAAATTAAAACCCCCGTTTAGTTATTTTTTACATTTTAGTGCCTGGAAGTCGGTTTTTTTTAAGTTTTTATATTATAATATGTATAGATTTTGCCGCTGTTTTTATGCGGTTTTTTTCCTGTTTTTACTTATAGAAACATTTAGACTGCAAAGGCAACTCTGATAAATGTCATGATCATGGATGACAAATAAAAGTCATGATTATTAAAAAATTGTTATGTTGTCAAACAGGTGACAGCCGTATTTGTAACAATTTCTTTGTCATTTAGTATCTCTACGGCTACCTAGTCTGTGCATTTAGTTATTTGGCGCGCTCACTTACTTCCGTTTTAATAGCGAGAGCAGTCCGCTCACTCAAAGTAATTGCCAAAACTATTTTGGCAGTGTTTTGTGTGTATATTAATTACTTTATTCTTTGAAAAATGTAAGCAAAGTATTTAAGTATTTTATTATTGATTTTTTTTAAATATTTATTATTATCTACCTAGATAATATTATAGCCATTTACTAATTTGATTTTGGAACAATTAAACTTATAAAATTAGGTATTCAAACTTGGGACATCTAGTTAATGATTATTGATTATTAATAGTGAAATAATCCTTAATTTCATGATAATTATGCTTTTATCATAATATTTTACTTATAAAGCAAATCAAATAGTTTTAAGGCCGTGCAAATTACAATATGCTTAAATGAGCTGACCTTACCATGACAATGAACATAATAATTAATATTACAATATTATTTTTTTGGATTTTATTATTCATTTATGTTTTTTATTTTTTACATTAATTTATATCATTATGTAAATTGATAATTTTGAAATATACCTGTTGTACTATAAATGTACGTGATATTTGTTTCTCTAAATAATTGTTTATAGATGTATTGTAATGAGGAAAATCGCTTAACTACGTACGCATTACTTACAATTAATTATATTTGAAAAGCAACGTTATACATTTGCATAAATTTACGTTTTCATTTTTAAGCATTATATATTGCAAGATAAGTAAGTACTATATTAATCAAACATTACATCCGTAGATCGTGTAAGCCATGTGGAAATTAGTTTTCTTAACCTTAAGTGTTTTGTGCTTATATGGAGAAACCAAGTACGATGCCGAGCGGAAGCATAATAGATGGATTAATAAAGATTTATCTAATGAAATCTCAACGCGGAAATCTCATCAAAAAGGGGCCAGTCCTCCAGATCACACTAAAATAGTTGCAATGGCAAGATACGTGTTACACAATTGTGGTAAGAATTTAATAAGAATGATCGACATTTACCCTTTCTTTTGTTTTGTGAATAAAGACTTATTATAGACTAAGACTACTCTGGCTAAACAACTAAAGAATGGCGTTGAGTGCAGCTGTTGCTTGAGGTCATAGGCTCAATTCTAGGTTAGATAAATTATTATCTAAAGACTAAATCTTCTTTAAGTATTAATATAACATTTTGGGTTAGTCTACGCATCGACGGAATGTGTATGAATACCGAAATACACATGTATGTAATCGTCTAGTCGGTCACGAGGGAAAGAGCGTGAACACCATACTTTAAAAGAAACATTCCCATGGATCAAAAAAGTACTAGATGTAGATACACAATCAGTGACAAAAAATGTCCTCACCGAATGAGCGCTCATTTAAACATTTGAGCGCGCTTTTAATTTAGTAGCATTCGAACCCTCTGAAGGTGAGTCGGTGCTCGTTTAAAAATTTCAATAATTACACATCTAGAATGATAAAAAAGGATGGCGTTTAATATTTATCGTAAGTATCAATATTATCATTATATAATTGTTATTACTATATTGTAAATACTGATCATCGTGAGGAAACCTGCATGCATCTGAGAGAACACAAGTTTTCAATAGACACGTGAAGTCCGCCAACCCACACTTGGCCAGCGTCGTGGACTATGGCCTGATTCCCCTCATATTGAAGGGAGGCCCGTTCAAGAAATCATTGTAAAAATAGTTTTCAAGATTTTTTAAATGGCGTGGCGGCGACAAGCGGCTAGCCTAGGTCGTATTTTTTTTTTGTGAAAACAACTTTAAGTGATGCATTTAAGGTTCAATTTATATTCTCGTATATTTATTTTAACTAGAATAATTACCCAAACAATTGGTGTCAGTTTTAAGATAACTTTTGCATGGGATTGTGTATCTAGTACTTTTTTGATTGATGAACATTCCATACAAATATTATATTTAGGAAAAAGATAATACTTAAGTAACTAAATACTGATAAATTTCACATAACTTATAAATAAATAGCAAGCCGAAGAAACGAAAACATTTTTTTACTCGATACCCCAAACGTAGGAGTTGAAAATCAAATTCTGTTTCGCAGATTGGGCATCCATTGCAACTATTTCCGTATTGCCAGCAATCGAAGGATTCCCATTTTCAAATGTTAAATCGATTGTAGACGGGTCTATGGCCAATTCTACTGGTATACCGTACTTTTATATGTCACCCTTAGATTTTACAGCGAAAGACTTATCGGTGAGTTATTTTAAAAAGGTTATCGCACAAATAATTATTATTTAAATAAGACTATAAACAATACATCACTGTATTTTTAATAAAACGAAGCTTTAATAAATTAATAGATAAAGATTAATTATTATCGTTACTAAAATTGTAGACGAAATTCAGATTCACTTTACTCTTTTAGAGATTTTGATGGTACGACTCTTGAGCGATAGGTAATAGAGGCCTACCAATTTAAAATAAAAAAAAATATAACCTAATTGAATACCTCTTTTTTTTGAAGTTAAAAACTATATTAGGTATTATACCTTATATAAAAGATAAAATATATAACGCATTACACATTTAACTTTTTAAGTATAGCATATTTTTGAACTAGATACCTAGGGTATTTTGTTTCTTTTTTTTTATTTCAATAAAATTTTTGCGGAATAAATTAAATTAGATGAAATTGTAATTCTAAATCTAATGGTAAATTTTGAAATTAAATATTTTTGCAGAAAAACAGTCGAGCTACGATCTTAGTGTCGTTAGAAGAAACGAGATATTGTGAAAATCAACAGTGGGATCCAGAAGATCCGCGATGCACCAGACTAATGCTTTCAGGAAAAATGAAAAAGGTAATTTAAAGATGTTGAGTAAAAAAATTATATAGACTACGTCAATATTGATTTATTTAATGCGACTACATAAAATATTTTAATATGCCTAGGTATAATTCTAAATATTTAGTTATTTATACAATTTCTGTTTGCAATATTATCTAAGAATTTAGTTTACGTACCTGTTAGGGGGTGTCCATTAATCACGTGATCTTTTTTTAGCATTTTTTAACCCCCCTCCCCCATTGGTGATACGTAGTGAGGTTTAAGACCATCCCCCCTCCCCCTTCTCAACATCACGTGTATTTTTAGTACCTACAACGAATCTTAAAATTTTCTGAATATTATCTTAATTTAAATACAGGTATAAACTATAATCTTATTTTATTCTGAAATTAAGGACCATAATAAAAATGTCTACACCAGGTTGCAAGTTTTTTTTTATTGCCATAACAATGATAATAAACGAAGAGTGTAATCATAGGAAAAACATGTATTTTACTAGTACATGAATATATTTAATGTATATTGTCCTTGAACCACGGATTAGCAAGACATTCTTCAACACTAACAACTGGATAAGCGTCTTGCAGGTGTTTGACGAAAAAATAAATACACGAGATATCTTACTACACCCCCCCCCCCCTCCCCCTTGTGTTATTTTCGTGATTTTTATCAAACCCCTCCCTCCCCTTTCAAGCCTCACGTGATTAATGGACAACCCCTTAACGCAATAAAACATTTAGGTAGAAGTAATAAAAATACATTATCTATTTAGTAATGAAAACTTGTGATTTTATCTATCTATACTTCTAAGTATACTAATATTATAAAGAGGTATTTGTGAGATTGTGAGTTTGTGACGTTGGAGGGGGTAATCTGGATCTACTGAACCGATTTATATGAAATTAGGTAAGAAGATAGTTTGAGACCCTGGGAAGGACATAGGATACTTTATATCCCGGAAATCATCCCTTTGTTGTGAAAATGGGGATGAAAGTTTGTATGGGGAAGCAAGCTAGGGACGAACCTGAGCGAAGCGAGGGTGAGTCGCTAGTTTATTTATAAAAGTAGATAAAGCTCTTTCCAAACAATCTGATAAACTGAATAAATAAGGATAAGGTATATATTTCAATCGTATTGATATTTCTCTATTGATATTGCAAATTGTTTACTAAACATTATTTACAAATCGATCAGTGACATGGAAATCTATATATGTACATTTAGTATCTATTATTTAAACTGCCTCGGTGGTGTAGTGGCTAGCATGTACGGCTGTACTCTCGGAGGTCCTGGGTCGGGCCAAGTTTAGTTATCGAGTCTTTCTGTATAGTAAGTCTCAGTAACAGCCCGGAGTTGGGAAGTTGGCGGTGTTTCACCCCCGTGCCTCGGAGAGCACGTAAGGCCGTCGGTCCTGCGCCTTAACTCTCACTGGTCGCGTCGAGTAGTCGTCCCACCGGAGTATGAGAGTAACAGGAATAGAGAGTGCACGTTGTGTCTGCGCGTACACTTGTGCACTATAATATCTCCTGCGCAGTTGGCTAGTCTCTATGAGATTGGCCGCGGTGGCCGGAATCGGCCAGGAGAACATCATCTATTATTTATATGTACATATATATAAAATGCTTTGTCCTGACTGACAGCTTTGTTTCATAATATGACGTGTAGCTTATGAGTTATAGCCATATAAATAGTCCGGTAGGTCTATTTTTAATAAAATTGTATATAGGTGTATGCTGGTCTGATACGATGGGTATACATATGTATTATAATATATGTCAGTATTTTACCCTTGGCTTTAGTGCAAGTTCAGAGTTATATAGATAATAGACATTCTAAAACGAGAACGAATTCCTTAGAACTTGGTTGCGGAACATACGTTGCGGTACAAATCTTTAATGCTTTAGCATGCATACATATATATGTACCTACATATATGGAAATCACTCTCATTTAGTTTTATTAAAACTCGTATCAAGTCAGGTCTTTAGTTATCTTTAAGGAAAAAGTTTCATGTACCTAAATATGAACAAATTAATAGGTTACGATATGGGAATACCAATGTATGCGAGTCCCTGAACTCTACACTATTAAACAGAAAGTCTATATTATAGTAATCTTTTTACTAGCCACTTTTGCTCCGTGACTTTGCTCGCATAATTAATTTATATGTATAATTCCTCCCCTCCAAACAAAGGGTCAGTGTTATTATAGATAGCTTATAACGTTCCTTGATAAATGATAGGTACTATATCTATAATTGAAAAATAATTCTAATCTGACCGGTAGTTACCTACTACTTCCAGTAAGTTTTTTATTGAATAGTTTATCCCACTTCCTATTCTGATTTTTTTATTATTGAACCAATCTTAATAAGGTATACATATCTACCTTTCAAAGTGTTTAAACTGTCATGGTCAGTGATCACTAGTGCCGGATTCAGCCTTAGCGCCGCCCTTGGGCACAGTAAAAAATGCCGACCCATTATCAAAATTTTGCATAAAATGGATAAAGTTTTGATAAACTTCATTTTTTTAGTAATTAATTTGTTGGAAAAATATATACATAAGTAATATATAAATGCAAAAGTATAATTTATAAAGGTTTCAATTTTTCGAAAAATGTACTAAGTACTTAGTTAATTTTTTGGAAATTAAAAAAGTACATATTTTTGAAAACGCGAGGATATTTTTCTTCTCACCCTCCAAATTTTGCCGCCCCTGAAAATTTGCCACCCTGTGCATTAGCCTCCGAGACCCGAGTGCTCATAGTGTAAAACCAGTCCTATCACTGATGGTTTTTACAAACTTGCAATGTTTATAACTATCTTTATTAGGGTGGAATCTTGTAACTCAATTTGAAGCGAATATCTTCAAGCGATTGAGCAACGGTAATATATGTAACATTACCGTGATTGAGCTCAAAATTTTAAACACGTCAAGTTTGGATGACAATGCATGTTAGCTTTATGACGTCATTCTAAATCCAACATGTTGGAACACCCAAGATAGCGGACTAGTTTAATTTTTAATGCACTCCTACAATATGGGTATTAAATGAAAGGGCTTGCTTGTTTGAAGCTTTTATATCATATAAATTGTGTAATAACGCTATAAGTTCACAATTAAAGTTTTAAAGGAAAAGTATATATTTTTATTATTTTGCGCATTTAAAAAAAGCTTCATTTAAAAAAACCATCCAAGAACCATGCAAGAACCATCCAACCATTGAACCATTTACCCGCGTCCAACGTTGTACTTAAATATCTCGTTTTACATCATATGTATCTACCTGTAATTTAAAAAAAAACTTATAATACTATTCTGACCATTATGTAATATATATATATATATATAGAACACGTCAAAACTAAAGTAGGTAACTTCCACTACCTATTCATTATCAAATTTCTTAATGTCAATCTCCTTACAAAGTTTCAAATTGATACAACTATAAAAAGTAACTTAAAATCGACTTCCAAGATTAAATTACATTGTTAGATACAATCACATGTACCTATGTACATACGTAGAACAAATAAATGTGTTTTAATTACTTATAAATCGTCTTTGAAGACATTGAATATCGCAAATTTTAAATATTAAACAATTCAGATAGCTATAAAACGAGTTCAAAATGTCAGACCTGTATAAAATTCGTTTATCTCTTATATTTACATTAGATTAGTGCTACGCTTATATTAGCACGTTCTTATTATCTCCGTTATCTGTAAAAACATGATAGTATTATAGAAACTTAACGACAAATAAGATGTACGTCACACTGAAAGCTATATAATTTCATAGCTACGTACTTGCATATTTAAATTGTTTATGAATAATGAAATATTTGCCTAGGAATATTTTCAGTTTAACACTTACTTATAACGGTAGGTATAATATTGGTAAATTGATCTACAAAAAACATACCAATATTATAAATGTGTAACTTAAGTAACTGTCTGTTTGTTGCCTTTTTACTCTTATGCCGCTAAACAGATTCGATGTAGGTAGGTAATATGGCCAAAACATGGATGCATGTTTACCATACGAGCTGCAGACAAAAAGTAGCATTACTTATATAATTATTATTTAGTGTGCCACAAACTTTAACTTCCTATAATTAACTCTTAATAACAGTGACTATTAAAATTACTGTAGGTCAAAGAGGGCACTCCCGAGTACAATTTCGCGAAAGCAGCTTTGTTTGAAAGACATCCGGCGATGGCCAACTTCCCTCCTGGTTTGTATTTATTAGAACCACTAACTAATGTTTGAGTATACATTTAATATTTTTCATTTTATATGCATTTTCATTTGGAATGCAGAATGGGGAATGTAATAACATCGCACTATTTAATTTGCCTATCTATATATAGATTTTGCTTTTTCGGTAGAAACTTTAAAGCTTAGATAAAAGCTAAAGCAAAAGTGAATAAACTGTGTTTGGTACAATTTCTTAATATTGTACGCGCCTAGATGGTCAATAAAAGATACCAGTAGCAGGAATCGAACCCGTGACCTGAATTCTAATTCCAAAACGAGAATATTTTAAATTATGAAACCTCATATTTTTGTCTGACTCTTTGGTTATTATGTAGGTAATCGCCAAAAATTTTGTTTATCGATTAGCTATTAATTTTTATTAATTTAAATATTTGCTAGCGAACCGTTTCACACAACAAGTTTTAAATGTGTATAAATAACAACTTAAATCCATAATAATGTTTAAAGAGGTATATGATATCACTCTCATATTTATTAAAATAGTTTCACAATAAAATTAGCAAAGATATACCGTAACATACACAGAAAACAACAAGCATCCTACACCTAGTAGTTCCTCCATTTGCAAAGTCGATGAAAAATAATTAAAGACAAAAGTAACAACTGCCATCGAGATAATGCAACAGTTAAGAAAGTCAAATCTGCACTAATATTATAAAGAGGTAAAGTTTGTGAGTTCATGAGGTTGTAGGTGGTAATCTCTGAATCTACTGAACCGATTTAGATGAAATTTGGTAAGAAGATAGTTTGAGACCCTGGGAAGGACTTTTTATCCCGGAAATCATCCCTTAAGGTGGTGAAAAATGGGGATGAAAGTTTGTACAGGGAATCAACCTAGGGACGAACCCGAGCGAAGCGAGGGTGAGTCGCTAGTATAAAATAAACGTGTTACAGATCACGAATGGTTCATCGCCAAAATGAAGATCGCGCAAATCGCAATGGTGGATTGGTTTGGCGGCGCGAAGTACGTGCCGGTGCGAGACTACCTCGCATACAACTACACTGGAAATGAAATGTTGAACTATCACAACCAGTTAATACATAGAGTTGTTTTAAATTAATAAATTCTATGTATTTTACTATTTTGTGAATTAAAAGATTGAATTTCATTGTTTTTTTTTACACAAAATTTGGTTTGTGGGGCGTGAAGTACCGAAATGTTGAACTATCACAACCGCTTATTAAATTAAGTTGTTTTAATTTAATAAATTAAATATATTTCACTGTTTTTTAAATAAAAAAACTCACTAATAGTCTTGAATTTCTTAGGTTTTTTTTTATACAAAATTCTCATACATTTTATTTGGTTTGGTAGCGCGAAGTACTGAAGTGTTGAACTTTTACAACCAGTCTATACATATAATAAAATTGTAACTAAGCCGAATCTGTACATTAAATATTTTTTGGAAAATCTTATTGAAATAAACGTTATTATCGATACAGAGGCCGAATCTATAGTTTTTAGAATTTTTGTCTGTCTGTCTGTTACCGCATCACACAAAAACTACTGGAGGGATTTTGATGAAATTTGGTATGGTGATAGATGGTCATCCGGGTCAACATATAGGATACTTTTTATCCTGGGAAAATATCTCATTTTTGAGATAAAATACAAAAACTTCAATGTAAGAGTATACTAATATGTAAGTAATACCTAAGAATTTGTTTTTTGGTCTTCTGAACGCGGGCGGAGCCGCGGGCAATGCTAGTTATTAAATAAAGTTGTATATTATTAAATTCTATGTACCTATTTTGTAACTAACACTTTTTTTGTAACTAAAATAAATCCTCCTCGTCAAATCCTCATTAAAAAGATCTTAAATTTCATTGTTTTTTTTTTACACAAAATTCTCATACATGTATTTGCTTTGGTGGCGCGAAAAGCTCGTATATTTTAAAGTAATTTTAAGTTTATAATTTGAATAGGTATATTTGGTACTTTGTTAAATAAAAATTTTGAACTCCATTGTTGTTATGTATGTTTTAAATTTTTATATAACTTGTTAATTCTCTAAATCGGTTTCTTATTCAAGGACTATTTTGTCGACGACTAACTATCTAACTCGGACCACCAGATCACATAATGCTATACCAGTACTACCAGTGTCGTGCCTATTATACCAGTAGTTTTGCACTAAATCTATGTTATTCTTTTTAACCCCCGACGCAAGAGGGGTGTTATAAGTGTGACGTGTGCATCCGTGTGTCTGTCGGAGACACCACAGCGCCTAAGCGGAAGAATAAATAATATATATAAATAAATAATAATCGAGTGTTCTTAGCTATAAATCAAGAAAATCCGTTCAGCCGTTTGATGGCTAACAGCTCTTTTCTAGGCAGTAAAAGGATATGAGCAACTTCCACATATCTAATCCATTCGAAATCGAAATCGTTTTCTGTTATTTCAATGACATTGCAATGATATGGTAACCTTGGCCTGATGCCGCAGTGTCACCTGGAAATTGGAATCTGCAAGATAGTCTACTAAAATACTGCAGAGAATAGAGATATCATGTTTAGTCTCATTAAAACGGTTTCAATGAATAGGTTATTGCGTTGGGGGTTTTTAAATTTTTGATAATAGTCTGAGTTTTTAACAAAGTAATGAAGGAACTGAATTCATAAAATATGTTCCTAGTGTACAATTAATAATACAATACCTAGTGCACAATTTTCACAATCTATTTCATTTTCTAATTTAAAGCATTTAATTCATAATACGACTAGTTATTTTAATTCTAACAGATATAACAGATAGGAGCGAGAAGAAATCTATAAATAAGTCAAAATAATTACTTGTAACTTTTAATAATTATAATATTTACATAATAATTATGTAAGCCTATATTACCAAAACAATAAACCTTATTTAAAATTTACTTGATATGTTTTAAGTCATACATTTATTTAAAAAGTCACAGTATATATAATAAAGCCTGTACTTTAAAACTATATTAAAAAAAGTTAAGGAAATAAAATGGTATTAGTAAAATCCCTGTTTAAATTTAGATATATGCAGAGAAAGATGATATAACATATGAATAAAAATAATAAAGTTAATCATTTAAAGATTAGTTAGTAGTTTAATGTAAAGAAGCAGATATACCCTCTTGGAAATAGTAATTCTACCGCCGCCCATGACAATGAGATTAATTAATTATTACATTATTTACTACTTAAAATTTTTTATTATATAATTTTTTATATTTATTTACAACTAAACAGGTCACAAAACAAATACTGTAATCTTTGTTTTCATGTATAATATAAAAAATAACAACTCAAGCAAGTCTAAAATTTAAATAATTGTGGGTAAGTGACAGCTTATAACAAGTCATAGACTCAGAATCCGAACAAATAAATTAAAAAAATTTTTCATTAAAATCACTGGAAATTGAATCTTTTTTAGTTTTATCATAATCTGTAACATTCATTCTAATGTTCAACAGTTCAAGCAATATTCACAAATATATTAAGAGATAATAGAATTACAACCATTTTCAAAATATCTTACAATTGTGTACATATTGTGTTTTATGATGATATACCCTATTTCTATTTAATAAAGATATTATAATTTTTTTACTAAAATACTACAGTAAGTATAAGTATAATAATAATGAATACATAGTTTAAATTACCTTAACCAAGGAATGTGTAATTACTAATTAAAGAAAAACAATTGAAATTATATTTCAACCTATAGTTCATTTCATTAATATCGATTGCGCAAATTTGAGCTTTTCTAAACACATCCTTTCATAGATATGAGTACTAACGACTTACCCTCGCTTCGCTCGGGTGCGTCTGTAGGTGGGTTTTAATTTTTTTGAGCAGGACCCTAATTCTTTTTCTACAATAATAGTAGCTCAAGTTACTCTTTATAAAATCAGCTAACTACCAGTGAAAGTCGCGTCAAAATAAGCCCAGCCGTTTCGAGATTAGCCGGAAGAAACAGAGAGAGAAAAAATTAAAATTTGTGTTTTTCTTATAAGTACTGTATGTAATTTCATATTCATTTAGTAAAAAGCTGTTATTTTGATATTACAAATTTGAAATTACAAACAGACAGAACAGTTTTATTTATCTGTATAGATGTATATCTGTAATACACACTGTTACTGAATTAATATAGTTAAAATATTTCCAGTATTTCATTGGAAGTATTCAAATCATTTTTTCCTGTAAACATACATAATATGTACATTGATATATTTTTTATTTTCATTTCTCTTGTTTAATAGGAACTTAATTTAATTTATTTTTGATGAGATTTTAAAGATTGGATAGATGAATTCAGATGCTCTTAAATTTTTGTTTTTTCAGTTTATTATTAAAATACATTATATGTAATTAAATCCACTGGTAAAAGCTAGAATAATTAGAAATTTAGTAAAAATAGTAATATAATAATTATAATAACTGTACTTTCCCATTACAGTGTACACAAGATGCAACCGGTGGTGATATGTCACTGTTGTTATATGCATGATGTACTAAGGCGTTGACAGGTTCTTCATTAACTTTCTTCACTTCAAACGGCATTGCCATAACCTAAAACGTTTAGGTAAAATTATGGTCAATGCAATATTGTGTTGTAACTGATTTTGTAATTTTCTAGTTATTTTTCTTTACTTTTAATATTTTAAAATTTTTTTTTTATTAAATCACATTAATTTGCTACCGTTGATGTGATATAATATAAAAAAAAACTTTTTTTTATGCAATGTATAATTATATTTTATTACTGCTTTCGTACTATGAAAATTAAAATATTCATGTAAAAAAATATTGTAATTAAAACAAGAAAATCAAACAAAACTCACCTGTTCTGCATATATTTCAGCCTCAGTGTCAACTGACAACAAATTAAGATGACTTATTTCCTGTTTTTCTATAGAACTACTAATGTTCTCAGACAACTTTAAATTAGTGGATGCTAAATCGAGTACATTTCCTGAATGTGGCATTGTAGTATTAAAATTAAGTTTTCCAATTGGTCTATTTTCCATATGTTCTGAGATGGCAACATTTTCAAGCCAATTTTCATGTAAACTATAGAGATTTTTATATGTACAGATTAACATATCTCTCATTCTACATCTTTCATCAAGTAAGTGCTTCACAGCCTGTTGTAGGTTTATTGTTTTTTCATTTAACACTTTTTTGCACATAGCTAACTCTTCAATCATTAAACTGGAAGATTTAGAAAATATGTATATATAAAAATTATAAGTTTTGTTCGATATAATATATTTATTATCAGATGACAAATGTTTATCATGTTTTAAATGTTTCTAAATATAATTACCTGCTAGCAAGGAATTTACTTCTCCAAACTTCACATTGACCAGCAAGCCATTCTGTTTGTTCCTAAAAAGAAATTCATATAGAAATAATTATAAATTTACTATTAGCTTTTCATATGCACTTTTCAATTTATATACATAACAATCAATGTCAACTATACCTGATGTGTAGACAAATGCTGTGCAGAGTTCACTAAAGCATTAGCCAAATGTTTCTTATCCTCATTGAGTGACTGAACTTGGAATTCTAAATCTTCACCCATTGAAGCTACTAACATGGTCTTCAATTCTTTGTTGACCTGTTTTAACATTGAAAAGTTACTGTTTTTATTATTGTTTATATAATGACATAAAATCATATCTATAGAGTATATAAATAAAACATGAAAAATAAACAAGAAAATATTAATATCTCAGATTAAATATTTTAAAGACAAGTCTTCCAAAAAAATTTTAACAATTAAAAATAGTCATAATTTTTATGTTTATGTTATTATTCTCGATTTTGCCTAAGATATTGTTTACTTTTTATGAAGAATAAGGGAAAATTAATATATGCATCATAATTTTTTATTTTTTGAGAAGAAAATATGAATAATAAAAATAATATTATATACTTTTGTATTTCATAGGAATTGGTTCACTAGCCCTGGAAACATTTACTTTTTTTCTTTATTGTAATAAATATATATATTATATAATAATCCATGATTTTTTTAATAACATTTATTTACTTGTCCTGTTTTAAAATACTGTCTATGTTATTTTAAAACAATATTGTTTGTCATCATGTTTATTTCTATGTTAGTAGACATTGTCTATATTATTTTTAGTCCGAGATTAATATTAACTTCTTTATTTTCAATGAAATGTTAGTCACCTGTGCTTGTTGTTTTAATTGTTCTTGTAAATTTTCATTTTCCTTTGTTAATTGTTCTATTTTTTTCTGCATCTCTTTGTTTTCTCTTAGTTTGTCTGAGTCCACTTCTGATTTATCACTACATGATGTTAATTTATTTCTTGGTTTGAATTCATTTATATTAGTATCCATTTGTGACATTTGAGAAATAAGTGTGTTTATATCCATATGATTTTTGGATTTTTTAGTTCCTTTAGTCAGACATTTAGGTGTTATGGGTTTAACAGCGCCTGCATATGGCTCATAGGGAACAAACTTAGGAGTCTTTGAGTAAATGTGGGAACTCTTCTTTTCGGGCGTAATAATTTTTGTCGGGTAAATTTGCACCAAACGGTCAGGTACCGTTTCTCTAGTAGAATGCGATTTAGATGATTTTATATCAGATTTACTTCTGTTTTCGGTATAAGTTTCATCTGATTCCATTCCATCACCTGCAGTCCTTATTTTGTTCATAATTTCTGTTGGGAAAAAAATTTATGATAGGATTTTCAAAATAACTCTGACGTAAAGAAGAAACTAAACTTTAAGTATACTTACTCGAATTAAAAGATATTAATGTGTCCATTATCACAAAATAACCAAAAATATTATATCAATTATTATGAAAACGTATACATTCGCAAATCGCAAAAGCAAATCGTAATTAAATTTGATTTCTTGTCATTTGTCACTTGTCAGTGTCAATTGGTAACATTGGCAGATAGTAAACATACTAAAATATCTTACCATTTTTACATAATTCAATCTATGTTAGTATTTTTATTTGTCATCCATGGTTAGTATGTTTCTATTCTTTTGTTTAACATAGATTGAATTATGTAAAAATGGTAAGATATTATAAAGCCAGTACCTAACAAGAGAATTGAATTAAAATAGATTGAAATAATCAATTGCTATTCATATTACATGGGCGTATAAAAATGAAAAATAAAAAAGACGTGTGGCACTCGGAGACTGCCGCGGTAAAGCTATTGCATAGCATTTTTTATCAACTTATGCAATTATAATTATTTATTTATTTTATTAATGCAGTATTTTTTTTCCTTTGTTTTTTTTTCTTTGATATTAATTCAAGTTACACTTACACCGACCGACCGATAAAAAAAACAATTTTTTTTCTTTTATTAAATAAATAAGATGTTAATATTGTTCAAAATATTTTTATTATCTTTCAATACATGTCGGTTCTTCAGGAATATTTATCATTAAAACTGTAGGTTTATGGTAACTGAAATGAGAAACATAACTTTGAGACTTGATATCTTTTAAATATCTGGAAAATACCGCGTCAATGGTGGTTCCATATTTCGTTGTGGATTCTTGTGGATCATTATTCATTTTCAAATTCAATATTTTCGAAAGCAAGCTGCATCGACTGCATCTTTGTTGCAAGAATTCAAAAGACTGTCTCTAAATAGTGTTCAGACGATAGCTCAAAATGTATTAGATTTTATTAGTAATAGAAATGGCATTTCAATTATTACTTTCAACTGCCAAAGTCTAAATAGTAAATAGTCACAAATACGATTTACAAGATTCAGTTACGAGGCAAGCAAATGTGTTACTTCTTACCGAAACAGATGTCAAATGTCAGATCGTCAGAAACGTCAGATGTCAGATCGTCAGAAACGTCAGATGTCCGATGTCAAATCTGAGTGGGGGTGTTAAAGCAAAGAACTGAACTAGGTTTTTTCGTTACGGAATTTCTGGATTCGGTCCCCACGCTCAAGGCCCGCGATAGAAGCTATGCAATAGCTTAAAAAAATCTAATGCAGAATACTATGCTCCTTCATCAATTTGTTCTCATCTTTTAAGTTTGCTTTTTCGCAGTCAATACTTTTTTTATTTACAGATTTTTAGTTTTGGCCAATCAGATATTTGAAGTATTGTTTAGCTATTTCTTATCCCAAATTACATTCGCAAAATCATTAAAATCGGTTAAGCGATTATTATATTAAGTTTAGTAATTACAGGGAATGTAGGATCGGTCATCGGACATACATCCATACCATAGAGTATATTGCTACATATATAATCCATACTAATATTATAAATGTGAAAGTGTGTTTGCTTGTTGTTTGTCCTTCTTTCACGTCGAAACGGAGTGACGGATTGGCATGATTTTCTGTGTGGACATAGTTGGAGGGCTGGAGAGGCTACTTTTTACTGCGGGACATTATTTAATTCATACGGGAAAACACAATTTATAATACAATCCAAAAAAATATTTATGATCAAAATTACTTGAAACTTGGTATTAATGCTGTTCAATTAAATTAAATAAATACGTGTTTAGCATTTTTCGAAATTTATCCTATAAAGGGGTAAAATAGGGGATGAAAGTTTGTATGAAACTACTTTTTTATGGTTTTTTGTAATTTTAGCGAGAGCGAAGCCGCGGGTTCTGCTTGTATTACATAAATACAGGTCCAACCACAGATTAAGGAGACTACCGGTCAAACACTGGCCCTCTTTTTCCTCATGTGTCCCCCTCTCGTCTACAGGAAATGTCTTCTTCGAGAACCGTATTAATCTCGTAGATCTAAAATAAGTCGATACTCGATAGTGTTTGGTAAGTCTGGCTTTTAAATCGTTGGCCAGAAAGGGCACTTGTCACTTTGAAATCTATAATATTTATTATCAATAGAACTTCTTGATCTCCCTAATAAGTTCAGCTTTAAACGATACAATTTTGTTGTATACATAAAAGCTCATATCTCTCAAATAACCTTGACTCAGTCAGTCTAAAGGTAACTGAAAAGTAATAACGTCTGCAAAGCCGTCATACTTTTTTTACTATTGTTTGAAATTTTTTACTAGTGTTTTCTAATTGTCACTAATTACTGTAACGACATAACCTCGCTTCGTTTGCATGCGTCCCTAGGTAGGTACGCACATAGCGTTGCTACAGTTTAATAGTTAGATACATCTTTTAAGAGGAATAATTCTGTAAACAATGTACCTAACATTGTTTTCATACAACCTTATTAGTTTACGCAGCGCACGCTAATAAAGCTCTCAGTCAGCATGATTTTTTCCGACAACTTCAACAATAATTGTTATATTTCCGCCAATTTACACAAAAATTTAATAAATTATATATTTAAACTTTCTTCATGAATCTATTGATGAAAACAGTATGAAAATCTGTTCTGGTAGTTTTTGAGTTTATCACGTTCAGACAGACAAACCCACAGACGCGACGGTAATTATGTTAAGGTCATTAATCTTATCACACCAATGTCAAATAAGCAAAACGTTTTTAAGTTATATCTGCTAAGTTTAGAATATTCTGTTAATACATTGAGAATGAAAGAGAAATTGAAATAAGTGGATTTAAATAAAAAACAGGATTGAATTATTTTTATTATATAAATAAAAAAAATGAGCTACACAACATTTAGAGTTTTTCAGTTTCAGAGTTTTAGCCGTTAAGAGTGGACTCCAGTTCTCCACCAGCTTGCAATTCTTTAATTATATCCAATCCTCCAATTAACTCCCCTTTAACATACAATTGTGGATATGTTGGCCAATCAGAGTAAACTTTCAGACCCTGACGAACCTCTTCGTCACTCAAAATATCAAATGTTTCATATTGAACACTGGAAAAATAAAATTAAATTTTGTACACTTATTCAGAGTAAAAGATTGTAATTGTTTTTAATTTGATTTTTTAACGTGCATACCCAGTTCCATTAAGAATTTGAATTAGAGTTCTGCTAAATCCACATCTTGGAGTGTCCCGAGTACCTTTTATGAAAACCATTATATTATGTCTATTTATAAGTGCTTTTAGTCTTTTTTCCAATGACTCTTTTGGTATCTCAATTAGATCTGCACTTCCACTGTGTGTTTTCACTTTAGAAGTTATTTGGGCAGCATCAGCTCCATCAATTCTATCTACTGGTGATCCATTTTTAAATAAAATAACAGTGGGAACAGAATCAACCTATTTTTACAAAAGAAATACTGGTTTATTATAAAGATATTTAAATATTATTAAATTATTAAAATTTATGTAAGTCACCTTATATTTAAGAGAGATTTCTGCAAGATTTTCTGCATCACATACACCAAATTTACTATTACTTGATTCAACTTCAGGTAGTTTTAATAGCTCTTTGAGCACTTCTGTTACTTGACCACACTGGTCTGCCCAATCTGCTGAGAAATGCACCACGGATAAGGATGGTGATCTGAAAGTTTTTCAATTATCTTGGATACCAAAAATATACCTTTAGACCATGATGACTAAAGATTATGTAAAATATTACAATTTATTTAATGATTTGTAGAACACTTTTTTTAATGAGTGTATGATCAGTTTCTTATCAATAAGTACTAAAATAAAGCATTTTCAGTATTCTAAGGTTAAAGTAAAGTTCGGCAATGTTATCATAACATTAAATTACGATATATCAAGACAAAATAACATTTAGAATATATTTATGAAATTCGAAATTCTTTTTTCGTACAAATAATGGGGTAACATACCTTATAAAGCTTGAGAAATTATCTACGGTATCAATATTGGTGACCGACATTACGTATAGGTTATATTGTATAACACTCGAATATTTAGAATTAAATCTTAGTATGAAATAATTACTTCGAATTATTCATTGAACAACTTCTTATAATAGATTTAGGAAGAAAGACAAATCAGAATCATTCGTCTATAACTTCAAGTATAATTATAAACCAAAATTTACAAGGCAGAAACTGTATTTAGTGCATCTGCATGGATGACAAATGACAATTGACAATGACAAATGCTGTAATCTGTAGTCTGTACAATGCTGTAGTCATGGATGACAATTGACAAATATAGATAAAATATATTGAGGGCGATAGTGGTCGCGACACCTGGCGGCAGAAAAAGACAAAATTCTTCCCCATTGAAATTATTTTTATGTCAGATCTACACAATTGCCATTTGCTACAAACTTTAACCCTCTACAAACCTGTGGCTAAAGAAGAAACAAACTCTTTGAGATGTTTAAAACCTTAGTCTCTCGCGACCATAATTCTGTGAATCATTCGAAACATCGGGAACCAAAATCAAAATCGTGAAAAAATCTGCTTTTTTTATCTTTCTGATGCTTTTGACTTGGTTTCCTAACATATTTTATGGCAAAAAATGTATGAAGCTTAATCACCAATTTCAATCATTTGCAAATTTCATTTTATCTTCATTTTCTCAACTTACTATTTAACTACGGAAAAATCCTAAAAATATTTCGTGAATCATATAAAGTTTTGAAAAGTCCAGTTTCCGAGCTAAACAAACTAACTAAACGGCGTATATGCTCTTAAAGTGATTCTAAGCTTTTAAAGAAAAAATGGGTCCTGTTTCATGCTTGTTTTAATGGTCAAAGTTAGTTAGTACGTCGTGTGTTTTTAACAGTGCAGTTATGTAGCTCAATATTAATCATAGGTTATTTCTGATGCTAAAGTAAGCAAATGTTCAAATTAATAACATTCAAGTATTTTTTTTTAATTTGAGGAAAAATTGATTTATAAATTTACATTGCATGTAATCTAAACATTTTTGTAGTTATATTATTGACTGTAATCTAAAAATATATTATCTATTCTTCTATACTAATATTATAAATATCATAGTTTATCAGTATGGATGTATGGATGTTTGTTAATCTTTAACTCCAGAACGGTTGAAAGGATCTGGATGTAAGGCACAGAGATAGATTATAGTCTGGAATAACACATAGGCTGCTTTTTATTCTGACAAAATGTACAGTTCCCGTGGGATAGTTTTGTTTTTGTTTTAATAAACATTATTTTCAAATCTTGTGTAAAAGAAAAAATATGTGTCTTATGTTTTAATTATTGTTACCTTGAAAAAAAGACTGAAAAATTCTAAACTTCTAAAACACTGAAATATATCGAGAGATGCAAGAACGAGTACAGATCATGTTCATGTATTCTCGTTCGGTTTCCTGTGTTCTTAGCTCGTTATTTTTTCACGAATCCACGGGATTCATTAAGTGAGTACACTTGCATATCAGTGCACATTATTTACCTCTCTCGATAAACATGGTGAAAAATTTTAGGGAATTTGTAGAGTGGCCTGTGACAGGTGCGTTAAGTAACATTGAATGCTGCTATGCATATGAGTGTGAAAGTTCACATTCATTTACTTGCTACATAGTTTCGTCTCTTTGCCTGTATTTCTGTCATAGTTTATGAGTTTTATTTATTGTAAATAATATACTACCCTAGTACTTACTTACTCTAGAGATTTATTAATTCATTAAATATTATATGTACCAACTATTGGTGAAAGTGTAGATAGGTCTTTATATTATTTGTATCCTGTGACTTTAACTTTATATTATGTATACTTTGACGTTTGACATATGAGCCGTTCATAGGTGCCGAGAGGTTAGAATAATGAATTGCTTTTAAAAATATAAAAAACATTTCATATTTTACCTTACCGTCACATTAAAAAACTATTTTAACAAGATGGCTACGATTTCGTCAGCTCCGGCTCCTGGGATGCATCAAATCGATCTTTCTAAGCTTAATATTCACCAGTTGGCCAAGTTGAAACAGCAATTAGATCAAGTAAGAATGCTAAATTTAAAATATCTGCTACTGTTTCTTAATTTTAATCCATTACCTTTTTTAATTTTAGGAAATAAATGTTTTTCAAGATTCTTTACAAACATTAAAAATGGCTCAAGGTAAATTTGTAGAATCAGGGGAAAGTGTTGAAAAAATTACACCAGAAACAAAGGGAAAGACTGTTCTTGTACCTCTCACTGGGTCTATGTATGTACCTGGTGTCATAGCAGATACAGAAAATGTTATTATAGATATTGGAACTGGATATTATGCCAAAAAAGTAAGTTTATTTGAAATCAAAGTTAATTCTAAAAATATTTGCTCAAATATTTTTAGAATTAACTTTGATTCAATTTATTAATTTCTATATTTTCAAACTAATTTATTATTTTCTATAAGGTATTAAACTCATATTAAATATTTGAACCTGCAGGATATAGAAGGTGCTAAAGATTATTTTAAACGAAAGGTGCAATTTGTCACCGAACAAATGGAAAAAATTCAAATGTTGGGCATTGAAAAGTCTAAAGCCCGAGATGCCATTATGATGATGATGGAAATGAAGGCGCAAGCTCAAGCACAAGCACAGAAGTCTACCTCATAACATAGGCTATGATTTTTAAAAATACTTTCTGCTTTATCCTAATTTACCTCTTTATTCCTTATCAATTTTTATTTATGTGCATTTATGTTAAGCCCTTTATAGATTTCAATGTCTAAACCTCACAAAATAAGATTTAGATTGTCTATAAAAAGTAAATTAAACCAAATATATCTATCAAGTTGAGAAAAAGAAATCAATCTAACAATACTTTTAACATTTGCAATTATATTTTTAATCTTTTGGAAGAGTGGCAAAACAATATTAAAAATATGTAAATTAAATATGCTTTTAAGCTTTCACCACAGCTTCTGTGTCATGTGTGCTTCATGTATGTTATTCTTTTAGTCTGAAATCAAGAGCTACATATACATATTGGGTCTACTAATGCTTGTCACAGATGTTATTTGCTGAAGGTCTCTATAGTATGTAGCAAAATGTTTTAGTATCTCATAAAAATGTGGCTTTTTTATTTTGTAGATCTGTAGACAATGAAAATATATGTAGGGGAAAAATTATATGAGTGAAAATGATTTCTTTGTCTATATCTAATTTGTTATGGGAATTTATGTTTAAAGTGTATTATGCTATAGGATATAACATGTAAGACCCAATATGTTTGGATAAAGCTCTAGTTTAATACAAGCTTGTGAATAACAATGAAATATGTATTGTAAAATTTCCCAGTATTTGATACTGTTTTTAAAAATATTCTCATAAGGAGGAGAAAAATTAATTAAAATATTTAGTTACTCATGATTATTTGTTCTTTTTTTTAACCTCTAAGCAAAATTTTACCTTACTATTTTAGTCTGGTTTCCCATACAAACTTTCATCCCCATTTTCAACCCCTTAAGGCATGATTTCCAGGATAAAAAGTATCCCATGTACTTCCCAGGGTCTCAAATTATCTTTTTAGCAAATTTCATCTAAATCAGTTCTGTAGATCCAGAGATTACCCCCTACAACGTCACAAACTCACAAACTACCTCTTTATAAATAAGCATACCTAGATGATATAAATGTAATAAATACTTAAGACAATTTTAATCACATATAATTTAGATTTATGTTCAAGCGCTGAGGTTATCTAGAACTAAAATAATTTCATACACATGCGACACCAAATTATTTATTTTTTATTTTAATAGGCCAAAACGATAGCGTTGATATCTACAATAGTCGCTTAATAAACTAACGTACTATGTATCTACAATATGTTTTTTAATCACAAAACAATATTAACTAAATAAGGCAACGACTGTTACTCAATGAGAGCTAAAAATTCGGCGCGTATTAAAAGATGGCAGCACTATTACATGAGATCTGACAAAGTCAATTTTTTGAAGTTATATTTCTTTTGGCGCGTTATAAAAAATGAATGTTGAGAGTGATTTTTTTGTTATTTGCATTTGATGAGGAAAATTGAAAGGCTTAGAGTACCATCTTATAATCTGAAAAAATTAAGTAGTAGTTCAATTACTAACAAGAATGGCGCTAGTGTACTATGAATGTTTAGATAAAATAAATATAGATGCTAAGTAATAATATTAAAACTAATAATTTTTATACTCTGAAATTATATTATAATATCAATTTTTATATAGTTTTCATACTATTTGAAATTCATTTATTATTTGTAAGTGTTTAATTATTAATTTAAGTAAACTTAATACATTCTAGTACATTAGCGTCATCTTATTTTAGTTGCTATTCAGCGAACATTTTTTGAAGATCCTTCTCTCCTCTATTCTCTATATAATATTATATTTAACGAAATATGAAATAACAATACATATCTTTATAATTTAATTAACATATTTTTCTATACAAAACAAGCATCAATGAGAAACAAATTGCTAGAAAAGAACATTGGAAATAAATATTTTTATGAAGAATAACTTTTATAACAATTGGAGGAAGAAAAAATTTAATGATGTCATTTCAAGTTAAAGTATTAATGATAAAACCACTAACTGTTAGCCCTCATTTCGTAACCAATAACTATTATACTCGTAAGTATAGAAAACAATAATTATGAAAATTGCAATATTTTTAACATGAACACGTGAAAAGGTATTTTAGTACACAATGCATTTATAAGTTATTAATTAGATATCAATTATTTTACATTAACGTCTATTAACAGGAGTTGTGTTTTAAATATGTGGGTAGGTATTCGTTAATGTGTATTATAATGTGACAGTCTACAGTCTCCAACGGGGTTTTTTGTAATGATTAATAACATATTATAATCGTAATGATTAAAATTGTAATGATTAATAACATATAATAATCATCAGAAAACCCGTTGGGCACTGTGGACTATAAGCTTTCATTGATTTAATCATGGATTGTTATTATTCATACCTTACTTTGACGATTGTTATTATTGAAAGTCAAAGCCTGTTATGCTTTTGCATCTCTACAAAATACTTTTGGAAGTCGGATTATATATAACACTAGCATTGCCCGCGGCTCCGAACGCGATCAGATGACCAAAAACCAAATTCTTAGGTTTTACATATTAGTAGGTATACTCTTACATTACAGTTTTTGTATTTTTTCTCAGAAATGAGATATATTTCCGCGGTAAAAAGTATCATATGTTGACCCGGATAACCAGCTATCACCATACCAAATTTCATCAAAATCCCTCCAGTGGGTTTTCCGTGACGTTCCAGACAGACAGACAGACAGACAAAAATACTAAAAACTATAGATTCGGCCTCTGTATCGACAGTAATGTCTATTTCAATAAGATTTTCCAAAAAATATTTAATGTACAGATTCGACTTAGTTACAATTTTATTATATGTATAGATTTGTGATATTCATAAACTCACAAATTTAACCTTTTTTCAACTACTTTATGATTGTAACTACGTAACGTTTAAGATCTTAAAAACTCCAATAAATGAAATGTAATATCGAACTCCCGATTGTTCAGGCTTTCTATAAATTTTAATAAAATTATCTTTCTCTCCTTGTTATAGGTAATTTCGAGTCAATTAAAAAAATAATGAGGTACATAGGTATACTTGTGGTGCTGGTGTAGAAAATAATTATTGTCATAATAATATTAAAGTATTATCAGTTTTACATTTCTTACTTTAGATTTTTATTGTCATATGGAATTGTTTTCACTTGTTATAAGATTTTTATATATAATCCGATATCCATGTATTAAATTTCATTTATGTAAATTTTGTAGGTATCATTAAAGCGATATTTTATATTGAGGTTTATGCCCTTTTGTATTTTCTGTTAAATTATTGAGTAACATTAAATACTCTATCAAATAATAATTAGAAAGAGTAAATATTTACAATTTATTACATATTACTGAGTATAGAATCTTACGGTTATGTGAGTCGTACAAAGAGAAATAGGACAATTATCAAGTATGACGCCTTTGGCGTTCAGTTCAACTCCAACACCATAACCCTTAGACTAAGCAATTTGTTTATTTACATAGTTATATGAATTACACACGCTTATACGTTACACGAACAGATCACTCGCCTGTTCGGCAAAGTCCTTATCTCAAATGGTGTAGTATTCAGGAGCAAAATCGTTCGCTAGGTTGCTTAGGAAATGAAAATCAGACGAAGAGTTTGAATTTTCTCCTGTGGTAGGCGTGTTATGTGTAGCTTCATAAAATTGCTGGAATGATCCGTAGCCGTCGACACATTCACCTGCACTGTACGCTTCGCCAGATGCAGGTGCCGTAGCACCCGCAGTGTATCCTGCGGGAGCAGTCGTAGGGCCATGTTGGTTATACGAGCTCGCATCGTAATAAGTATTTTTTGTATAATCGGTGCTATGTACATTTCCTTTTTGTCCATCGTTGTAATAGCCATGAGTATGATCGTGTTGTCCACTTTCGTGATAATGATATCCATAATGGCTATTCGGATAAGCCATATGATCCCCTGGATATCCTTGGGTTTGATCGTAACCAGGATGGCCGTATGCAACTTGATCCTTTCCATAGTTTGTATAGCCATAGTTTTGATACATTTCATGTGGGTAAGACTGCCTCGATCCTATTCCATTTGCTGTTCTAGCGCTCGAAGACCCATCTGATTGTCTCGAATGTTGTTGATTTCGCGTGTATACATGTTGATCGCCCTGCAATGCTGACCCATAAGCTTCGTATGATCTATTGTTTTGCGGGTATTGTGCTAGTTTGCCGACAAATTGTTTGGTGTCCATACGAAAATCTGGGTGCGGAACGAATTGACCTGGTGGAGCATTTCCTCTTATAACATATGGAGGTATGGCATTGGGTACAGCTTGTGGAAGTGGCGGGCCTGATGTTGTATGTGGTGGCGAGGGTCGTGGATACAATCCAAGGGGACTCTGATGTATACTCGATGGTGTTCCTGGAGTAGATGATGGTGTCAAGTTTACTGAAGAAAATTTACCACCATCTGTTAACCCAGCTACTCCAACAATAACTTCTTTTGAAGAAGACGGTGAAACTTTGCAAGTTGCATCTAACGATGGGGAACGTTTTCTTGATTCTTGTTTGATTCTTTTTGCTAGATTTCTAGGCGCTGCTGAGATAGTATTAGATGAAGGAGCTTCTCTTGAGTCATCTTCTAACTTGTCCAGAGAAGAAGATGATGCAACACTTGAGGCACCATCACTAGCAAAGCTGTTGTTGTTTGTTGCGCTTGGTGTGTTATTGTTACGTGTTCGTGATGTGAGTTCAGGGAGATCCTCAGTTGGTGAACATAAAGCGCCCGGCGGTAGTTCACAACCTTGACAACTCTTTTTTCCTGAAAGGGGCCCATCATCATCGAGAAACTTCTCCAGCCCCGTCTTGGAACTTTTACCTCCTTCGGACGTTGTAGAATCTTTGTCATCGCCATCTTCACTTTTGCTTAACGTTTGCCTTTTGTGTTTCATGCGCCTATTTTGAAACCAGACCTTGACCTGGGAAAATAAAGGTACCAATATTACTATTTCGCAATATTAGAAGATATAGTCTTCTTAATATTTACCTGTTTCTGTTATATTAACGGTATATTAAACACAAATATATCGTTAATATTACAGAAACAGGTAGAAAGGACAATTGAAGCTACTAATCATTTACTTACTTCATCTAAAACATCTGTATTATAGTAATGTTTAAAAAAAAGCTATTTATAAATTAAGCCAACATGTCATAGATTAATAGATTTGTATAATAAGCACAGTCTAGTTAAACTGTACTTTTTTATATACCTACCTGTCTTTCTGTAAGGTCGAGGGATGCCGCGATTTCAATTCTTCTTGGTCTGCACAGGTACTTGTTAAAATGGAACTCTTTTTCTAACTCTAACAACTGAGTGTTGGTGTACGCCGTTCGTAGTCTTCTTGGTAAACCATTTTCTGAAACAAAGGACCTGTGGTTAAATCATTTCCATCTTTTTTATTAAAATGCAGCCTTCGATTAAAGTTAAGTTTTGTATTAATGTTACAGTATTATGTTCCTCGAAGTTTAAATAACAGGTCTGCGAGCAGCTCACGGGTGCGCTTTCCTTTAATGTAATAACTTGATCGCATGTCAGAGCACCGCCCTTGACGCCATTGTGTCGAAACAGTTCTTTTTATTTTACCACAAATACGAATTGGAATTCGAAATTCAAATTACAAAAGGGCGGCGAATAATGGGGCGATCGTGTTCGCGTGACGATTCCGCAGGGCTCGTGTGTATTCGCATTATAATTAGGGCAGTTGATGCTATAGCTTTTAAATTTTGAGTAATAAAGGCTATAGTGAACTGTTTGTTTTAAATTATCTATGTTGGGTGGTTCTTGATTGATGTAGCTCGTAAATTTCGACTCCTGCTATTGGACAAGGACAGCTGTCAATCAAAAGGTAACGTCTCCTCTTGGTGCGGCATCGTTGCACTTGCCCACCCTATTTTTACTTTGTTGATTATTATCGATAGACGTTTTGTTTTCTTTTGGTAAAATACATTTATATGTTTAGTTAATTATCGTTGGGCAATATTGCGTGTATCTAATGAGTACAACTTATTGTGGGGTTTACTGTCTCGGCCAGGTTAAATTAAAGGACGATTTAGAAAACGACATTTATCAGAATTGCGCCGGTAAAATGCAGAAAGAAAAATTCTCTATTCTGTGCCTCCACAACTCCACAAAAAAAATGAAGTAAGTAGTTATCTTTGTATTACATGCGATTTCTAACATTTGAACAAAATGTAACTTCATAGAAGTGGCCATAAATAATTTTCCAATGCACACCTTAGATTAAACTATATAACTAAATCATACGTTTACTGAACCTGAAAGCCGATAACGCCTGGTCAGCCTGCAGAATAATTATGGGTTTCCAGGTATAACGATAAACACAAGCGTTCAGTTCTCTAAAGTATCTTATGTTGTTTTCTCACGAAACATTTGAAATTGTAGCTATTTTATTGTTGTCCATAATATTAATATTGTATTTATGTTTTTTTTTCTTTTTAATATAGCTATGTATATGTAACGAAGAAATATATAGTATAACAGTGCAAAATCCATACTTACATACTTAATATTATAAATGTGAAAGTGTGTTTATTTGTTTGTTTGTTGGTTTGTGTGTTTGTTTGTTTGTTTGTTTGTTTGTTTGTTTGTTTGTTTGTTTGTTTGTTTGTTTGTTAGTTGGTCTGTCCTTCTTTAACGTCGAAACGTAGTGACAGATTGACGTGATTTTTGGTGTGGAGATAGTTGGAGGTCTGGAGAGTGACATAGGTACTTTTACCGCGGGAGATTATCTTATTCCCACGGGAAAACACGTTATAATATAATCCAAAAAATATTTATGATCAGATTCACATAAAACTTGGTATTAATGCTCTTCAATATAATTAAATAGATATGTGTTTTAGCATTTTTCGAAATTCATCCAATAAGGGGGTAAAAAAAGGTGTGAAAGTTTGTATGAAACTACTGTTTTAGAGATTTTTTTTGAAGTTTTAGCACGAGCGAAGCCGCGGGAGCAGAACCCGCTAGTTTATAATATGTATATTAAAGTTATAGATATATATTATGTAGTGTATCAACTTTCAGGTATCCATAACATAAGCCTCGTAGCTTACCATGGAACTAGATGATGCAGTGTTAATGTTTCAACATATAATATTTTTTTAAGTTATATTTTTTTAGTTTTTCCTATAAAGTTTTTATGATATGCAAAATTGATTTATAAATAGCTAAAATCAGCAAGCATTATTTTCTTTGCGACTGTTCACACAAATGCAAGTGTGAGGTTTTTGCTCACAACGATTATGCAAGCTCAAGAGGTTCCGAGTATAATGTTCGCATTATCGCCCTGTCCCTACTTACGCACTGAACTTTCTTCGGTGTCACCAACGCGATGCTTGGTTTTTTATCACTTTATGAAGTCTGCTAGAATAAACTGTAAACTCGTAGCCAATTTACTTGTAACCGTAGCTCTTTTAAAACATTGATGTCGATGTCGGCCGAGAAGAATTATTGCTTCTTTGCGTTGAAAAATATAGATCCAACATTAAGAGTTACTAAATAAATAATTTAGATACAAATATATTTTAAAAAGTGTTAAATTATTTGGTAGCTATAGATGATACTGAATTTAAAAAAAAATTTCTTTGCTGCACATCTTTTAGCTGTAGCTTTTTAAAATGCCCGAATGTGAAAAATAATTCAGAAACGTATTACAATCATGTAGGTCGTTATTCGTACAAATCCATTGTAACGTACAACAAGTAGGTAATAAATGGTGTTGGAGGCGCTTGTTTAACCCTCGTACGCTGAGCGGGGTACTTTGGGCCGGCCGAAGATTTACTGCGGATTAAGGGTCACTTACATCGCTCAAGTCAACAGTCGCGATGTCCGCACTTAATTTGCTATCACGGTACCCCTGTTATATTGAATTATAGCAAGCCCAGGTACCTGAGTTACGTGAGGGTATTATTTTAAAGGAATTTACTTAGGCTGATATATATACGCATAGGTTCATACATTTAACTATAAGTAAAACATTTTCCGTATAGACATATTCTTCTAAGTTTTATATATTTATCAAATATTAATTAACAAACAATGCAACAGTATGCTCAAATAATATTTAAATTTTAAGATATTCGAAAAGTTCCTTTTACGATGCAAGTGGTGTAATTGTAAACAATTTGCAAAATGTATGTGCGGTCCCCCGGGGGCAAGTTTGAATAATTAATCAAAAGCCGGTAAGGGATTAATGCGGTGGTCAGTTGGCGGTTGGATGCCATTAGAGAACGTTCGATGCCCCGCCGACTAAATGCTGCGGTCACATTATTTGTTTCAAGCTTCCTAAGCATATGGCTAGGGTAAAACTGCTCTAATTGATTTTCTTTAATTTCCTTACGTCGTTGCTAAATTTCTTAGAGTATGTAGGTAATATTATATATTTATATAAAGATCAAGAATACTTAATACTAAATAGAATAGTTATGTTTGTACCTACTACTTCAACATTGCACTAAATATATTATTTCCTATGCTTTAGTTAACTATTGATGATAGATATTATATATATATATATATATATATATATATATATATATATATATATATATAGATATAGTAGTAGATCTAATATATGTCGAGATATACGTAAAATATTTTTATCATCTTACTTTTATTAAGAGTAGAAGGAATCATGCCTACTGAGACATAGATTTGATGGAGTACCAAACATTTATTTTGAATGTAGATACAGTTGTTAGAGAAAACTTGCTTAGGGGAGCATGGTTTCGGGAAGAAATATTACGTTATGAGGTGTGAAAGGCATAAATGTAAAAATTCAATATTTATAAAGTAAAAAGTAAATTTTTCCGCAATTCTTTGTCGGTTATAGCTTCGATTAGGGTGCCATGTGAAGCCTAAAAAAGTTAAGCAAATATTTAGCTTTTATTTAACTTAAATCAAATAACATATTCTGAGGTTTTCAGTTTGGAAGTTTTTCTGTAATCTTCGCTAATAGTACCTAAATAAAAAATTATAATTCTTTTTGATATTAATTTCAAGAAAAAAAAAATCGCTTAACTACATACCTACTTACGCTTAAAATAATATAGGTTGTACCTATTATACCTTTTTAGTTATTTTTTTTTGAATTATTATTATTAGGTTAAAGTAATTTAATTATTTTAACTTAGTAAGTATTATTATAAAAACTTTATTCTTTTATTTTTCTTTTAATTTGATATTTTAAATAAAACTATCTTTTCAATTTTTCTCGCGGATCTATTTTAATTTTCGGTTCCCGACGTTTCGAATGCTTTATATCAATCATGTTCACGAGAAAAAAAAATCTGGTCAAAAAAACTGAACAGATAGTTTTATTTTAAGTATATCTACTTTAAGTTTTCATCATTTTAGTAAGTGCTGGTACTAAATTAAAGAACGCTAACATCTCTATCGCAGCAGCAATCTCAGCCATAGGACTTACGTTTATCTCATTGTCTGTCACGGTTCAATCGATCATGTTGTGGATTTGTATTTTTCCGATTGTATGGGGTCTGTTTGACATTGTCGCATCAATTATAAGCGTGGATTACGAGGAGACAGATCTAAGACGGTTCAATTTCGCAGCACACGAGGGTTAGGGTAATAATATCAGAAAATTACTCAAAATCTTTTGCATGTAGATACTTCCGCTTATTCCTTAAAAATATGGTACGTCCTAGATACTGTGATTTTTTTAAAATGTAAAACAATAACTGTTGAAAAACAAAGACAAATTCGATCTACTTGATAAATAAATGTAGGTAGGTATTTCCAGTAGCTTGAGCACTTTTATAAGATATGTAAATAGTTAAAAACCTACTTGGTATGCAATAAATGAAATTATTCCATACCTAATATCATTTATACAAAGACTCCTATTTACATGTTTTGTCAGTTTCTTGTCTACCCCTAATCTATTATGTTAAAGTTCTGTGAAAATGTAATGAGCACTTAGAATCCCAAATCCATTTGGCTGATACGGAGGTTATTAAAAGTTGTCGCGGCAGACGGCGCAACTTTGGAGTACTTTGACAGCCTCCCCGGGGATCCATGTTCGATTCCGTCAACGAGGAAATTTCATTAATCCTTTAGATATTAATGTAATGACTTGAATTATTTTGTTTTGTTTACATTTCCTTTAATCTCAGTTGGCAAAATTATCTTGACACTATTGGTAGGTATATTATTGTACCTTTATACATATGTATATTTTTATTAGCAACTTACCCTCGTTTCGCTTGGGTTCGTTCCTAATAAAAAACAAAAATAAAAATCTATCCCACGAGAACCGTACATTTTTCCCGAAATAAAAAGTAACCTATGTGCTATTCCAGACTATAATCTATCTCTGTG